GCCTAATCTTTGTAATTTGATGTACTGTTTGTTCGTCGGGCAGATCGAAGTCCATTCTCGGGCGGATCGACTTCGGGCGGATTGTCTTTTGTAGTACTTTTTCAGTTCATTTTCCAATACTACTTTCACCTGATTGATTAATTATTCCTAAGTTGCTATTTATTAATTTGCAGAATGTCAGTGTTTTTTTTATCATAAGACAGCCGACTCCTCAATGGCACCTGTTGTAATACGTTACATATCAATCTTTCTTAGCGGCACAGCGTTTTGGAAATCATTTACCTATGTCGCTTGAGACTGTTCCCAAATCTCATTCTTGACAGCTCTACTATGAATTACTATAACTATGTGATTTCCTACTAAAGTCAAACCTGTATTAGCAGTTAACCCCAGGGTATGGCATGGTGATCACTTCATGCAGGTTGACCATTTAATACAGGTTCTACAGAATAAGGGTACATTTGATGCACGAAATTCACCCACAAATACTACTGGTGTTGATTTCTGGGGATAAACATGGACAAAATATACTTGAAAACTTGTTTTTAGTTTTATTTGAGTGGTTCTGGTTTTAGAGTTAAGGGTGGTTATATGACTGCTTAATAGAGGTAATGTTTAACCCTTCAACTCCAAAGATATCATTAGTAATTCTCCTTATTGTCTGCCATACAATTCTTATGATGTCAATTCGGAAAATCTGATATTGGGTCAACTACTAATGCCCTAATTCATATTTTACTTCATTCTTATCACTTCTATGCTTGATATTGTATAGATATTGTAAGGAGAAATTAGATATCTGATAGTCTTTTTAAAGCAAAGGTGAGAAGCTCTAGACCTGTTTTAAAGACCAGCAACTGGTCTGCTGAGGCCTGAGTTTGTGTAGGTTTGTTAGTGCTATTTTGTGACCTCTTTGGTTATGCAGAAGACAGTAGGTATTTTTGTGTTTATTTGTCATGGGTTGCCTGTACTTTAATTTCCACTGGGACAGTATGGTGACGTCATATTTACTTCAGTGTTGTGTCTGTCGAATGAAAAATTATGGTGATAATGTTTTTGTACTGTCCTGTTGGGTTTTTTAGTTTTTCAGTTTTTGCCCCCAAGCTTCTTATAGTCATTTTATGGCATGGATTGCATGGATTGCATTGAATTTCAAATGTATTAGACATGTATGTTTACAGGGGGGAAGGAAGAAACTGATATTACTAGTTTTTTCCTCAAGGGATGATACAGACATTTGTTGTTACGCAGAGGTACTGTATAGGTCCCATATGCCTGGGTTGAATAGACCCAATGAATACCCAAAAATCTCAAGTCGATCTAATTTAAAAGGACAAAACATATAATAAAGATTAAGCTGTTTACAGGAAATGTGTATGATTTCTTCACAGCTGCAAGTCCCAACAACAGATGTTGGGCAGGAAACATTGACAACGACAACCTCATCTTAAGTGGCCTTAATGGAACGTTTGAGAGTCCAAGAGATGCTTATAATTACTCCCAATATTATCCAGGAATGAGCTGTAACTGGTTCATTACAGTACCAGAAGGGAACATTGTAAAACTCAGCTTCGAGCTATTCGATATGGAGTCTGTGGCTGCAGGTTTTCCTTTATGGCGTTGCTATGGTGATTATGTAGAGGTACTAGACGTGTACGGAAGTGGAAGAAAGTTCTGTGGTGAGTCAAATCCAGGGATAATCCGCTCGAGAAGTCGGTACATGTGGGTGCGATTCAGATCAGATTCCTCCTCCTCCTCGCATCGATATCATAAAGGGTTTAAGGCTAATTTCACTGCAGAGAATAAACTCAGTAAGTCAATTAGTGTGCCACTATGGAAATTAAGCCATTGTGGATGAAGGATATAGTTTTTTTTTTTGTTTAGTCAACATAAGTTATCTCCTCTCTTGAGTCAAGAACTTTTCTTCTTCAAAGCACTTTATTTTTTTCTTAAACGAGGTCCATTTCTTGAGAGAAAGTTCCTTGCATTTGCCCTATTTTCATGCTGATGGTAGGGTGGTTTTCTCCTCTCTCTAGAGAGATTTCACCACCTCAGCATAAGTCATCATCAGAGCCAAGTAAAGAATTATTGTCTGTTGAATTTCATAAGTCTGGTTCTTGTGTTATGATTGGTCAATTTTGCCGTGATCTTATTGGCTGTGAGACTCAAATGACGTAAGGTTGATGTGATTGGTCAGTTTGTTCTGTTGGTAATATTTGGTCGTGCTATTAATTTTATTTGTGGTGTAGTCGTTGAAATTTGGCATGGGATTCTGTTCCAATGGAGTGAACCAGCTTTCCAGAAACTTTCATCTATAGCGTTACAGCATTGCACTCTGAAACGTTAGTCAGTACTATGAACAATGGTCCTTCTCAGGACTTTTCTCACATTGTTACTCCTGGGTGCAAACCATTCGTTGTATTTGTACTTTTTAGTTTGTCCTCGCTACGGTGAAGCACTTGCTGCTTCTATATCAGATAAGAAGACACTGACGAGTCCAGGCTATCCTCTCTTGCCTCCTGCCAGTTTGTTTTCATGGTGGTGCAAATGGATACTCAAAGTACCGGATGACCTTTCCACTGGTGGAGCATATGTTTTGAAAGTTACATTTAATCACTTCAATCTGCAAAAAGTTATGATAGACTCACTTTTTTATGATGGTATCGATTCATCATACAAGCGTCTTGGAAAATCATATACCGGAACGGTCCATCCTGATGTGATTTATTCCACAGGACGCCACATGTTTGCTGATTTTTCTGTGGAAGAGAAATACTTATTGGAAGCAGGCAGTTTTAGTTTAAACTTTTCAGCCGTGGTCAGAGGTAACGTTATTTGGGCATTCTTGGGTTTACTCTGAAACTCAGTTGGCCTAAGGGGCTTAGGGAGGGGGGGAGGGTGAGGAAATGGGATCGTTTAAGTTTTTCTTGCGTAAGTTTGCGGAGTTTGTCTTTCCGTGGTTTGACTATTGAAGCCTTACAGGTGTTGAAAATGTACTGCAAGGCGTAGGGGAAAGTCTGATGGCATTATTTACAACACCATGATCTGTGGAAAGAGTCACTTTCCTATGTCTCACATATTTTGGTGAAGAAGACAAACGTACTATAGAAGCACTCAGCTCTTTATCAATTGTTTCCCGGCGGGGGGGGGGGGGAACGAATAAATTATACCGGAATAACGATGTGTGAAGTTGGTAAATATTGACAAGGATTGCAAATGAATGTCTGAATCGAGCTGCAACGTTCTTATTGATGCATTCATTTGCAGAGGAAGCCTTTGGAGCATGCCAATCGTCAGAAGGGAATGCCGAACATATTCGCTTCACTGGTTCCTCTGGTACCCTCTTCTCCCCATTCTATCCTACTCCTTATCCGAGAAAAGTCACTTGTATTTGGGTGATTTCCGTTCCTGCTAACAAAAGAGTGAAGCTAACATTTGATAAATTTAATCTTGATCGGGAGGACAACGTGCGAATACTTGATGGGCAAAAGTCGGGGAGTGAAGAGGTAGCTGTTTACTACGGATACAACTTGTTTAGTAGGGAGTCAGCGGTGTACTCGACTGGGGGGTACATGCGGATAAAGTTTCAATCCAGTCAGGACTCTTGGAATCATACTGGATTTAAAGCACGTTTTGAGGCTGTGGAACCGCGTAAGTACATTATGATTTTATTTATCAACAGACCAATGATTTTTAAAGCGTAAAGCTTGTTCGTTACCTTGGTCAATGTTTTTGATTTGTCGTGAAAAAGCGGGAGCAAGTTGGGATTTATCGCCGATCCTCGCTTTCCTGGTGCTTAGGTGCGCCTTCCACATCAACTGTGGGGTTAAATAGGTAATTTCAGAGATGGTTATCATTGGAAAATTAAAGGGGAAAAGGCTTGAAGTACCACTGATTATGACATCTCCAAGAGTTTTTTGTTCCTAATGACACTTTTGCTCGAATTGCAAATTGGGACGGTAAGGTGTTATGAATAGTGACTAAAAAAATAAGTTTCTAGAAATTTCTAGAATGCCTAGTCACGCTGACATGCATACACGAACTTTCCACTGTCATACCATGGAACTTTCGAGAAAAATATATTAGATTATGAAGTTATGGTGGAAGACTTCTAAAACAGTTGTTTTGTAAGCTTTGGAAATGTCCTGGAATGCTTTGTAAATGTATCTAAGGACTCAGTCGTTTAATATTAGTAGTTGTTCTTGTTGGGAGTACCCGTCTGGAAAGCTATACCGAGAGAGATAGAGGGAGAGAGAGATGCGGTGGAAGATTGTTCATTTCAAAAAAGATTTGGAGGCAGTGAGTGTGTGTCAGTGGTAAACTAAGATATAGTCCATAATGGGCTCAAGTAAGTTTTTAGAAGATAACTATTGTAATACCCACATGGTATTACAATAGTAAGATCCATTACACGTTGTTTAATAAAGTAGCTGAGTTTGTAGGAGTATAGAATCTTCTTTCGGTTAAATTATATCGTAGGAAAAAAAAAAACATTTAAGCTTGGTTGTCTCGAAGTTTTCCTCTGTAACTGAATTTAGTCGAAGGCCCTGGACCAAGACTGTTTCCAGAGCATCTTTGTATTCCTCTTTTCACTTTGAATTTATCAAATATGTGGTGAATAACTTGAATCTCTGAGGACGCTGTACCACTTCATCAAAAAATTATGTTTCGTTATCACCTTCGGTGTTGCCAGTCGGGCCCTAGTATTCATATAAGTATTTTAAAGCTCAAAAGGGTTTAAACTCTGTAGAGAGCCTGCCAAAGACTTCCCTGAAAAATGGTAGGTTAATTTGGGTGATGCATCTTTCTTCCCAGCCGGAAGTTCCGAGCAGAGATGTTTTCCGGGCAACATTTACAACAACAACCTGACATTATCTGGTTACAGTGGAACTCTTCAAAGCCCAGAGGGAGGAGAAGGGTATCTCTCTCACTCCAGCTGTAATTGGCTCATAGCTGTACCAGAAGGGTACTTTGTGAAACTTAGCTTTGACACCTTTCAAATGGTTCAAGATGGCATCACGGGAGGATGTGATGCAGATTATGTAGAAGTTGTCGATGGGAAGTACATCGATGGTGAGAGCGAAGGAAAAATGTGCGGTTTTGGTACCCCCGATGACATCTCCTCTACCGGTCGTAACATGATGGTTCTTTTCAGGTCTGGTCCAATCAGATCATCTTTCATGGGATTCAAAGCAACATTTACAGCGCTTCATGATCCAACAAGTAAGTGAAAGCATTCCTATTTCTTCGTTTTCGGGGAAGTCGGTGTCTCCCCTTAAACACCTTGCCGCTCATTCGTAACATCCCTCATTTCCAATCAGCCAAAGAAATTTTATCTCAAAACATTTTGAAATTAGGTGGTAGAAAAGGCAAGTTCAAGGCAAGCGTGAAAAGCGCTCTTCATCACGACTGATTTGACAGGGTGTTGTTTGACAATACCTCAGAGGTTATCAGCACGAGTGAAACAGAGTAAATAAAACGAAACTGTTATGTACTACCCCATCAAAATAAAATATTTTGAATTTGGTTGTGATTTTTTATGCCATTTAATTTTTGAATGATGACGCAAGAATCAGGTAGAGTGGTCGATAACTGACACAGTTTCAACTGGTTTTGAACTTGTGATGATCCACACGTAAGGCATTCACAACTTGTTAAAGTATGTTCTAAAAATGATATCTCATTATGCCAAGCATGGCTTTCCGATGTCTTCTAGCCGCCATCTTGCCATAAACAGTTACCTTTTTCACATCAGATTTTGATAGGCTCGGTGGAACAGCCCCACCTGAATCTCTCCGAAGCCAATTCCCCTTCTCCTTCCCCCGTGGGATCACTTCAAGGAATTTACTTGATATTGTTTTCTAACTCCGTAGCGAAAACTAAAGCTGTAAATTCCAGCGAGTTATGTTACCCGGATAACGTCCACAACTTTGATTTGAGGTTGACCGGATCAGAAGGGATTCTAGAGAGTCCGTTGACCTACTACCCACCGGGTTTACTTTGTGAATGGCTCATCACTGTACCCGAGGGACAACGCGTTGAACTCATCTTCGAGAGATTTCAGTTGGATCCTGGTTGCAGAGATCATGTGGAAGTTGGAGATGGAATGTCATTGTCTGGTACATCTTTGGGAAAATACTGTGGAACTACAATTCCCGAAAACGTTCGTTCAAGTCACCGTAATCGTTATATGTGGGTTCAGTTCTACTCTGCCACGGATTATGCGGGTAGAAAACCACACAGAGGATTCAAAGCCACCTTCAAGGCCGTATCAAGTTCAGGTTGTCTACCTTTGTTTTAAAAATTAGAGGTTGAATTTGTTGTAGCACGTCTCATGCACCGTCAACACGACTATCTTTTCAACGCTACGTGGAAACGATCCCTAGCTTCAGATAACTCTGCTTGTTTGACTTTTGTTTCTCTTTTTCTCTTTAGAGTCTCGTGCTTGGATGACAGCCATTATTGTAACTGTCATAGTGTTTGTTGCACTGATATTCCTTTCCGTTTGCTTGGCTGAACGAATTAAAAGGCGAAACAGAGAGGTAGCGGAGAGGTTTCCAATGGCTATAGTATCACGCCGTATTCCGTCTGAACCTGTTGACACCACAATCCCTCAAGTAAGTCGCGCTCCAGTTTCAACAAACGCAGATATACCACCCCCAGATTACCCATACCCATTAGAATCGCCACCACCCTACCCTGGTAAGGAACAGATTCCACAGTTTCCACCTCCAGGACAGTCGTATCCATGGCAGCAGAGTACACCGGCTGAAGAATCCGTTACCCATGAGAATTAGGCGAATTAAGCGTCAGCTGGGCAGAGAGGCTTACTGGGCTCAGCTGTATAAAGGGCGGATAAAGCTATACGACGGATAAATCGCCATCCAGCAGATAAGTGAAAGCAAAACGTATGGTGTCATCCACCGGATCGAGATTTATCCTGCGGATAGCGTTATCCGACCTTCGAACAACTGGGGCCAGCTCTATTTGGTCTATTTCTCTTTCTCGTGCTTGCATTTACTTCCTGTCGGTTCTCACCCACTTTTCCTGTGCTAATGCTTAAGGAAAAGTAAAAAAAGCACGCTATACATGTCATATCGGATCGTTATCATTATCTACCTGTAATCGGTGTTTTCATACACCCGATGGGGCAATCGGCAAAGACTGCTATCTCAGCCGTTGTCTGTGCCTTCGATTTCGTCGACAGTCCTGATCGGCGAATTAAAATCTCCAGTGGAGACAGTGGAGTTGGTTTGTCAAGCTATATCATATAATTACAAAAGTAGTTGTAGGGACTTTGGTTATGATGAATTATAGCGTAAAGAATGCAAAATTTACCAAACGGATAAAGAGAAAATAGATTATGGTTGAAGTACAATAGCAACGACACTGACAGTTTATTTTAATTGAAGCAATCATATCAGGGATTTGATTAACTCAAACCTGAATTAAGTAACAAGTCAGAATTATTATCTCCACAGTTTTGTTTATTTTTCAATGACCCTCTTTGATTTGTCCCTCAACGGATTATTTCAACAGCTGCACATACGCTACACAAGGGTGGCCATATGAAAAAGGCCTAAATTAAATTTTCATCCCCTCTTTTGTTCCTTAACTTAAAGTGTGGCAGAGGGTTCTTACAGAAAACAAAGAGATCGTGACATTAGGCCATTCTTGTTGACTTAACTTGATTCAGTTGTGCTTTGACAACAGTTCTTGCTTTCATAGTAGTATTAGTTTCAATCTGCTATAGAAGTAAAGAGAAACACAAGGGGCCGGTTATTTACACGAGGTCTGACCCAAACCGCTGTTTTACGCAATCAGAGGGCCTTTCGTAATCTTTGTGGGAGGGTTGTTTTTATTATATAAATGCCCTTCATTGCTAGCTTTCGGCCCTCTTGACACTGTTCACAAACCGAATGTTCAGATAAAAGATTCGGCATAATTCAAGATAGTTTAGAACGCGGCTTTGTTAAGCCTTGGCTAAACTTTTTTTGAAACTGAATAACCGGCCCGAAGAGTTGTAACCACCAGCTTCCTTCACTGTTTCCGATGCAAATATTCGGGTATAGCGAGTTCTTTAGTTGAAAAAGACATATTCTTAAACATAATAAAAACTAGCGATGAAAAGGGATGACGTTTCGACCTCTCCGATTCCTTTATCAGGGTCTATTAAAATATGACAAGTTATGTTTACGAACAATTGTCGTGTAAATATAATGCTATTAAAAACAGATGAGAATGCAACAGGCATTACGGTTTGTTAAAATTGTATAATTACAACTAATCAAAATATTTATAAGGTACGTGAATAGTATATATAAATAGTATAATATAATTTTGCGGTGCTTGAGCTACACTGTTTGTTTAGCGGTGGTTAAAAAGCATGGCTAAACTGCTGGATACCCTGCCACTCATTTACATGTCATTGAATAAGAATAGCACCCATTGTGTTATGCCTCGTTCTTGGAGCCTCGCGCCACATGTAAATGAGGTGGACCAAAGGGGCAGGGTATTCTGCAGTTACTCCAAAAGCATTTCAAAAATAAGACAGACAAGGTTGTTCTCGCACTTTCTTAAATTGTTCAAACTTCGCTTGATGTTCCCCGGCTCCATGCCATGTTTTCTGAGCTGGTCTCCAATCACCGACCCTTTGTGTTCCTGAATAATTTGGCATGAGTATTCGACAGAGCCAGCATCATGTGCATCACACAGGTCACACCAACCTATTGCTGACCCACAAGGGGTAGCAGCGGAAAAGTTTTCCCTAAAATGGGAAAGTACGCAACTGGGTGAAACTTTGAATGCAAAGTTGGGCATTGTTTTCAACAGCGCCCGTAAAAAATATTTAAGATAAGCTTATAGCGGTACGGGGCCCGTCAGCAATTATTTCCGAATATTTCCATACCTTTTCTCGGTTGCGCTACACGGAAAAACTTATTCAATCTACCATCCATCATTTTATTGATGTAAAGATATCAGATGCATCTCGTGCTCAGAAAAAAATATTTAAGATAGGCTTATGGCGGTACGGTGCCCGACAGCAATTATTTCTGAATACTTCCAGACCTTTTCTTGGTTGCGCTACACGGAACCTGCAACCTACCATCCATCATTTTATTGATGTAAAGATATCAGATGCATCTCGTGCTCAAGCGACTGAGAAGTAAGAAGTTCCCAGAATCGTGTTTTCCCTACAAGGAACATTGAGAAGTCGGCAAACTCGGAAAGAAGACCACTTGTAGATCTCAATTGCAAGATGAACACAGAAATCAGCCCGGTTAAGACAAGTCGAAACTGAGATAAAGAACGCGATCAGATTGAAGGAAGAGAAACCGCTCTTTTTTTTTCCATGCGTGATCTGTATGATGCACTTTATTTTCGGATACACATGACAGCACTTTAATCAACGCATTGAAGATCACAAACGGAATCGGCGATCGGAGACCATCTCATAAAGGAGCGAGCATGACATGGAACCGGACAACTGACATCGCGTTGCCAAAACAAGCTTCAGTGTCTTATTTTTGAAATGCTTTTTGTCAAAGAACTGAAACCACTGCTAAAAAAATAATGTGACTTAATCCGTGCGAAGTTATCATTTTAGACTATTCTTTAAACTTTAAGAGCCGGTTATTGAATGACACGAGGTGCGGTCACGTTTTTTCGTAATCAGTGGGCCTTCAATATTCTCTACAAGAGGGTTGTTTTCATTAAATAAATGCATTTCTTCTGCTAGCTTTCGGCCCTCTTGACACTACCTATGAAGAGACATGTTCACTTAAAAGAATCAGCTAAATTCAAGGTAGTTTAGGTTGTGGTTTTGTCAACCAACGGCTGGACTTTGTTTAAATAACGGGCCCAAAGATTTCAATATTTTGCAATCAATATACGATTTAACATATAGTTAAGCTTGTTACGCTCTTAATCGTTTTGAAACTATTTGATTTTTCTGTTAATTTTTTATAATTTTTGCTTTTAACTTTGAATTTTCTTAAGTTTAACGAAAGAGAAGGGGAAGACATCTTTGTTGTAATTGAAAAAGTGAAATGTGCAAAATACAGCTTCAATCTAACCTATAATCAAGAAAGTGCCAAAATTCTCTCTTTGAAATACATTCACTTCCATTTTGTGTTCGTTTTATGCGTTTGTTTGTTTGTTTGGTTTGTTTTTTTTTTGTTTTTTTGTTTTTGCAATATTTAAAGATCATGCGCCCATACCCAGTTTGTTTTTCCAGCTCGAGGAAACATCCCTGGGCATTCATCTATTTTTTAATTCTTGTTTACCCGTTTCATACAGCACATGGCTAAATGATGAATGAGTTACCGGCATGTCTATTCCGGGGGTGAGGGTGGCACGATGCTGGACACTTTGAAACTTTGGCTCGCTGTCTAAAGTTACGATGTCGCCTCCTGTAAAGAAGCCTAGGGTCCGGTTTTTCAAAAACCAGTATGGTAAATTAATTAATTACTCTTGAGGTTTATCCAGAATTTTGTCTACAGTTTTGTTACAATTTTGTAATTTATATCTTTAAGAGAACAAAGTTTGTCAAGAAAATAGCGACATTAGTAATTGTACCAAGGCAATAGCGACATTTACCTCTTAGTATCATTAACAAACCATCCGAAGCCTCGGTGTTTCGAAATTAACAACCCTTGTTAATCCGCTAAGTTACAATGTTTTGCGTCTAAGTTATGTTAGATGAGTTCTTTTGTTTCGATCTTACACTTTTACGCATATGTGACAATGTTGTATCGTTTGGTAGGGGCTGTAGCGAACCTGCTCCAAGCAAATTCTAGCTTTGAAAGATCTTGACACATCTCAACACAAAAAAGCAATGCAAACCTTAATTACTTTACCTCAAAAGTTGAAGTTCTCACTGTATCGAGCAATACGAGTTTGCTTCACGTGGATCGCAAAATGTGCTCTTCACCTCCAACCCCCAACCACCTATTCTCATTCTAAACTCCCTGCCCTAGATCCCCGGAATAGACATATCGATGAGTTGCTTGTAATCGGATCCTTGTGTTTGCGCAAAGATTTCTGGGATCGCCATGGGGCAAACATTGCAACTCACTGGAACGCAATGTATGTGAAAGGTTGTTTCGACGTCCGAAAACACGATTTTGGAGTCAGATTATTGTTTTTTATTAGAAATGGATTTGGGTGATGTTGATACAAGGGAAGTGTAAGCTTTTGTTTTTGGAGAGTGATTATTTCTTTTTCTCACATAAACTAAGTTAAGTGATATACAAAGATTTCCGGCCCTGAGAAAAGCCGTAACAACAAACGTGAAAAAACATCGTATCTTTTCACGTGTGTTGATATAGTCAATCTGCTGCTGATACGTCACTCGCCTTTGGCGCCACTCAGTGAGGTTGATGAATAAACGGCAAAGCCCTCACGATTCTCAGCACAAAGTAGTTTGTCGGAACTTTCTCGGATATGGCGGCTAAAACACTCAAAAAATCCGTATCGATGAAAGATAGAGAGGTTCAAACTTTCCTAAAAGGGGAAAAAGAACCAATATACAAAAAGAAAAACCGCAAGATACGTATTCAGTGGCTTTGGTGTTGGCATTCGCGGCTGAGAATGAAAATCGACAACTGGAAGATTTGCCACTGGCCGATTTTGGCCGTTTACCTGAAAGACTTCTTCTGTCGGTAAGGACAGAGTCAATAAATGAGAATTTTGTAAATTGAAAATTACGATCATTGTTGTTTTTGTAATCATGATTCAACGCATTTTTCCATCTTAAGAGTTAGAGTTAACGCTCTGTTCGATTGTTATTCGGGGATTGTCAATTCGTTTATTTTTATTCATTAATGTAGTCGGCTTTTCTTCTTAGTTAAGGGCTATGATGTTTATATGATAAACAAAATAATACATGGTTGCTTGTAGATATGGAATTTCTCTTCTCGTGTTCAACTCGACATCTCTCTCGTTCGCTGCTTTCACTCGTGCGCTATCGAGTTAAACACTCGAAGAGAAATTCGATATCTACGCGCGCCCATGTATTATTATCTATTTATCAGAAATGAATTTAGGTGATGTTGATACAAGGGAAGCGTAAGTTTTTGTTTCAACAACCAAGAAATATGTAGTAAAATCTAGCGATTAGCTTTTCTCTATGCGCAAGGTTTATTGTGAAATTGACATCGCGTAATGGTCTCGAAATTTAGAAATATTAGCAAATTAAAGCCTTTACAATATCGGTAATGTACTCTCCTGTATGATTATGGAGATAGGCAAAGACTTGCTAGAGGCATATTTAGTCGGCTTAAAAAATATAAGTTGTTCTTCGGTTTGTTTGTAGCTTTTACAAACATCTACGTGGCTAGACTCTCCCTTGCACACCTACAGAGATGTCGTCAACCAGTTCACTGAACAAACTTAACCAATTAAACACCACCCAACAATCAAATTTACAGCTTAAATATCATTCTGTTTCAGGAGCCACTTTCTTAGACTCAACTGCCTATAAGAGTGAAAGATTCAACGGGGAGTCAGTTCTCGATAAAAGAACCCTCTTCAAACCAAAAGAGACATTCCAGTACATGTTCTACACAACGTGTCACCCTCCGCTGCCCTTTGAACCACTGTTCACAGTTGTTGAGACACGATTCCATAAACTTCGTGGCTTTAGATAAGATGATAGATAGAAAAACTTGAACCAAGTGAGGTTACAGAGCAAGAAACATCGTGGCCGGCTATAAGTAACAGCGTAGTTTTCTAGAACCGCTGCGAATCTGACTGACTTTAAATTTATGTGGCATTAAATTCTAGAGGCGGAATGAAAGATATCAAACTGTCACCGGAAAGAGGGGTTGGGCAAAGTGGAAGTTGCATATTTCCCGCGTTCGTGTATGTGGCATTAAATTCCAGAGGCGGAATGAAAGATATCAAACTGTCACCGGAAAAAGGGGTTGGGAAAAGTGGAAGCTGCGCGTTGTTGATCACTTGTTTTATAGTTGTTTCAGAGCGCTCTAGAATGATCAGTTCAAGAATGGTTCGCATTCATCTCGTCATTGGATGTTTTAATGTGCTGTGTTTCGGACAAGGCATTCCTCAAGGTAACTATCCTTGGTGGTCCAGGTCATGTCAACTTTCGCGTCGAACCGAAACCGCCAATTTCTTTCCTTTCGCCTGATTATTTGCTTCTGAGTCTCCTGGATCATGATCAAACGATATCCGAACCGTATTAAATAATAGATCTGATCAAAATGTATCGACCTCTGTTCGGTTCGTTTTCTCTCATAGTATTGGAGATTTGCAAATAGTTACTACAGTGATTAAAGGACCACAAAGACTACAACCTTTCTCTAAGCAACGGAGGGAAAAACTTTCAAATCACGGGCTTTTCCAAGTTGCTTTGATATGTCTTAAAACCGTAGGCTTAGAGAAGTACAGTTTCACTAACATAGCAAGTAGAGCTCTATACCAACGGGTGTATAAGTGGGTAAGAAAGAAACAATACTTCAAAGTGTACTGTGCCGGAAACTGTAAAGTTGGTTCGGAAGGTGAGGGTTGCCGATTCTATGGCTCGGTATTCGAAAAATCCTTTTTATTCCTTTTTTCTTTTTTTTCTTTTTTGTTTTTCTGCCAAACGATATAATGAACTAGACTTTTAAAACATCTTACGCGATGGTGCGATTTCGTGTAATAGCCTTAGGCCTCCAACCGCGTAAGATGGCGAACACACAATTCGGAGAAAATCAATCTGTAAACGTTGACTTTGTTCAATTTTACTTGTTGGCACTTACCGACTCTTATAACTAAATCACGGAGAAACAATTTCCGACGTAACGATAACTGGCCAGGGTATCCAAAACTTCAAAAACGGGCTTGCACTCACTTTCATCAACAAACATCCAAATTTAGTCAAATAGGAGCCGGACAAGGTCAAATTACAGCCACCTAAAATTTCCATACCTGAGGCCTAAAAAGGAAGTGGCGAGGGTCTTAAAGACATTTTTTTGTGATTCAAAATTTTCCTTTTAATATGATCGTTTTCTTCGCCTTTTCCAGTGTCAGAGAGTGAGTCACTGATAAAATGGTGTCTCAAATGAATATATCAAATCTGCGAGGGTCAGGAAACAGGAAATCACCGATCGCCTGGGATTTTCCCCGACATGTAAAGCTGAAAATGAAAATCCCTAATGGAGCGGCGGAAATTGCAACTTCCAATCATTGTTTCAAATCACAACACAAACTTTTTGTATACACTTTCCGGTTGCTTCACTTATTCCTTACCATTCTTAAAAATGGCTAAGGGGTTTATGTAAACATATCACGCGGCGTGCTTCAACAATTTGTCAGTTTGCTTGTGGGAAAGAACAGCCCAGAGGCGTTCATGTTTCCGTAAATGGCACACGATCAAAGGCCATACACAGATATCGACAAAGAGAGAAGCTTAATTTTAAGGCTGTCCGTGGGGTAAATAAGAATTTTATCTTTCATTGACGTGGTTTCAGAAAAAAAAGAACAACCGGAATAATGAAAAAAAAAGGCAGGTAGCCAAACACTCCGTATTTTCCTTTCTTTTCTGATTAGCAGCCGCACGAATGCTACCCTTGGTTAGTTTTCGAATAGAGTTGCATAACACATTGCATACATTTATAGATATAATTATCTTAATTTTATTCTTATCTTAACATTGTCTTATCTGGACGCGAAAGAAACCCAAAACCCAAGCAGGCGACAGGAAATAATCAGACAAAGCCACCTGAATTCCTTTTAATTAAAATTCTTGAGGAATGAAAAAAACTTGCTTTTTATTGATCAAACTAATGACCCTATACACTAGCAAAGCAAAATCGTGCCGGTCTTTACAAATTTTTGCATGCAACATTCCCCACTCAGGTATTATAGATTTAACTGCAAAATATCTAAAAGAAAAAATCAAACTAGCGCCGAAATATACCATTCAGCCTTTTCCCACAAAAACAACACTCCCGGTGCCCTTTTGCAATCCATTAAGCCATTCATATTAGGCAAATCACATCATAATATCATTAATCCAAAACAACAAAAACGTTTAAAAAGAAAGTATATATATATATATAAGGTATTCTCTCCTTGTACAGACTCCTCCTCTATTGTATTTTGGTAACTATTTTGTCTTTCATTTTACTTTTTTTTAAAGATTGTTTTTCTCCTTTGGGAATGGAAGATGGAGGTATCAGGGATATAGATATTCGTGCTACGTCTTCTTTGAATGCAAGTGCTAGTGCTATTCATGGTAGACTGAATCATATTGGAGGCTATGGGGGGTGGTGCCCTGATCAGCAGCCGTATTATAATGGTACAGGTCCTATCCATAAGGAGTTTATTCAAGTCGAATTTCCCAGCCCCTTTCGAATTAAAGGCATAATAACACAGCCCCGCGCTCGAGGTGTGGAAGGGATTCGGAGGTTCTTGGTTTCGTACAGACAAGATCAAGAAAACAATGAAAAGTATGCTTGGTTGTATGATGGAAGATCACACAAGCCTAGGGTAAGTCATTTCAAGGACCTTCATAAGGACGTTTTTCACGAGCAGCCTTAGCTCGCTAATCAATAACGATACTTCTATTCATCGATACTCTTAAAGAACGATACTTTCGCAACGGTCAAATTTCAGAGATTGCACGGAAATTAACCTCTAATATCGATGGAGTTCCTTCAGTCTTTAGTTGGAGTGGATTTCTGAAGTAATGCTATCGCCACGGATATCAAACTGTTTTCTCATCGGTGATTTTGTGACTAATTTTCAGGACCGGAGTCGGTGATCTTTCCATGTGTTCGACATTTTAGCGTGACAACGACTAGGGGCGCTTTCCATTCGACCAAAATTTTCGAGATTTTCGGTCTGAAATCGAATGGAACGGGAAGAGTTCCGGTTTAAGTTTTCGAAAATTTAGGAATACGTTTTGAGTGTGCCCTCTTGGATGGAATTATCGGAACGTGTGTATTCCATTCGCGATAGATGTCGGTTTTAGTCTTCCTGTCGAACCTGAGTTCAAGTGGATGAATGGGAACAACAACAACTCGCACGTTTCCCTAGTCATCCGGAAGTGGTTCTCATACTTCCCCGACAAATAGACAGGAATTGTAACTTCCAAGAACCCATCAACGTGATTGAATGTTCTCCGTATAAAGCAGGCAATTGCAGCCAGAAGTATTGCATTTTCGTTGCTGTCGAGAATGGTACAGCTCATCATCCCAGAGTAAATGTTTGAAAAGCCCACCATTTTGAAACACAACAAAGTCCACCCAACATTCCCTGTGACCTCAAAATATGGGATGCGTTCCATTCGACCACAGGCACCCAAGCTTCAGCTGTGAGATAATCATCTTGCGCGATATCAGTCACGGTGGAATTATAAGAGTTTGTATGGGAATATTTATGACCGCTCTAAGGAATAAAAAAATACGTCAAATTCTCAATAAAAATACCTCACCTTACTTCCACAGCATATCACTTGTTATCTGACCGCTTACGTTGATAAAAAGAACCCATTTTAGCGAGTTCTCCATTTCGAGGTTTTCTTGGTACGTACGTAGAAAACGAAAATTCCGAACATTTTGAACCGGTGATTTTCGTTGAATGGAAAGCGCCCTTTCCTAACAGCTGACTCGAATGAGTAGTTGGTCACATGAGACAATCAATCTCTTGCCTCCCCTGTTATTTGCAAGTACCGTGGTAATATTAAGGTCTTGACTAGCGTTTTTTGGCTTTTTTTAATGTTTTTTCGTTTGTTCTTTTATCTTGTTTGTTGCTTATTTGATTTTTGCAGTTTAAAGGCACACAGTGTCGTTGCTACTTTGTCCCAGTGATTAGGTTAACCATTTTATATTTTCATATTTCAGAAAGCAAGGTTGAGAGGAACAGATTTTTTCTGAGAACAAAAATAATAGCAAATTTCAAATCAAATTGATAGTATCGCTTTCATGACGAGCTTGAATCCTTTTATGCAAATGACTCTAGGCGAGCTTCTATCTCCGCTTAAGCTCATTTGCATAGTAACCAGATACTTCACACAGGTGACCTCCGAATGATAAACCAGCGAGGTGTGAATTAGTTACACGGATGCGTCTTTCTCCGGAGGCGTCAATCAATTGTGCATTTATTTATACAACCTATCAGGAATGCGCAGAATCGCCTAAAAGTATTTTTAACCTTTGGCATTTTAAAACTCGCGTTCAACTTAAAAACTTCTTTTCAGAGTACCCTTGTGTAAGCATCAGGTGAATGGATTCACACCGAAATACGGGTATTTTAAGCACCCAAGCATCTCGATTGTTGACAGGTAATGAACCTTTGGCGTTTCAAAACTCGCGTTCAACTTCAAAACTTCTTTTCATAGTACTCTTGTAAAGACCAGGTGAAACAGATTCACACCAAAATGCGGGTGTTCTAAGCACCCAGGCAACTTAGTTGTTTACGGTAGCTGCTTGAAATGCCGCACTGCGGCATTTCAAGCAGCGAGATTTATCGTGCGTCATCGTATAGCTCTAGACAGAAATCATCAGGCACACAACCTTACCTTAACGCCAAATTGGTCAGGCCAGCGAGTAGAATTTCTTTCTCGCGAAGTAACAAAGTAACACACAGTTAAGACCTTACCTTAAGGAAAGAACGATAACACTGTTTTTGCGGATACCGCCGTACCTTCGTACAGAAATTTGGCGGGATTAAGTTCCCGCGCTTACTTGACGTTTGGGACTTGCTAACTGAAATATTATTTCATACTTAAAGAGCTCTTTAGCATAGACGCCAAAAATGTATTATCAAAATATCAACCCAATCGTTTCAAGTGTTAAATGATGCTCCTGTATCTCAAGAACATAATGCAGTCGAAATCTCTCTCGATAACAAGGTCCTCCCCGAGCAGCACACTTGAGGGAAAAGACCATATCTACGCGTGCCGATGAATTATTCTCTGACATGGTTTGATGCTACTCTAGTTTACAGATTTAGTGAATGTAACCGAAGAAGTTGAAATTCAGAGACTCAACCTTTCGACACTTTGGGGCATATTTTCGCCAAACTTAAGGATCCCGTCGAATCGACGCCATTTATTCTATTCCTTGCGATGACTGTGACAACACGAATACATCGGACGAATACATTTACACCTCGTCAGAAAAAAAGGCAGCTAATTAGTGATCATATAAAAGGACCTCTTGTTGCAGCGTTTAGATCACCCCTAATGAATGCACAAGACAGGAGTGTCGAAACGTTGGGTCTATGAATTGTAACTTCTTCGGTTACATTCATTAAATCTGTAAACCAGAGTAGCATCAAACCATGTCTGATTGTCCACCCGGTTGCCGCGTGAACGTTAATATAATGTATTATTCTCTATTTAATCAAATGAGTTGATAATGTGAATTGGCGTCCGTAACGAGATTTTATGGCTGACGTTTCCAGCGTTGGCCCTTCGTTAGAGCGAATCCTTTCATAACAACTTTACTACCTACCGTGAAAATCATGAAACAACGACTGTTATCGAATCGGGTGTAAGGTTTCAGAAATAGTAAATGTCACTTGTGTAATATCACCGGATATTTCCCGGTGTAACTGAGACCTCGTAGGTCTCGAGATGTATTTAGAAAAATTTATTTGTGAGCAAGCGAAAATGTTTCATGGCTTATAGTTGGGGATTTGCTAACATCATGCACTGTTGTTGTATATGTCTCAGTTCTTTCAAGGAAATAGCCTGTCGGAGTTGAAACCTCCACTTGTAGCAGACGGAATAAGAATTATACCTGAAATATTTCCTCGCAGACAGGTGTGCCTCAGGTTTGAGCTTCTTGGCTGTCAAATTGAAGGCGGTAAGCTTTTTACTTCCATTGAATAATGGGTGATGAGGGCACCGGACAGGAGTGTCGAAACGTTGGGTCTATGAATTGTAACTTCTCAGTTACATCCATTAAATCTTTAAACCAGACTAGCATCAAACCGTGTCTGATTGTCCACCTGGTTGTTATATGAACCTTAATATGTCCATATATGTTATTCACTAGGAACAAATTATCACGAATTTATCACGAAATATCATTCCCGAATAGTTACTGTCATTGTTAAATGAGAGCCTAACATGACATTTCTATTTATTACTTAATTAGCGATTGTCACGTACAAGATGCTCCAAGGTAACTCTCTGGACGGGAGATACAACTTCACCGATTCAAGCTATGATGGTTTGACTGAAGGCCGCTTTCTATTCTTTGGATTGGGAATGCTTACTGATGGACGATTGGCCAATGAAGATCTTACAGTAAATAACGGATTGGGTTGGATTGGCTGGAACATGATAGAGACCCCCAAACCTTACATAATATTTGATTTTTTTGAACAAAAGAATCTTCATTTCAGCTACTTTCCATTGTAACGTCAAAGACCAGACACACATCGAGTTGTTTTCCAGAGTTGAAATAAGGTTTGATAAAACAATGTCGAATGGTTCTCCACCTGATCTCATGCAAGAACCCAAGGAAATTTCCATTCCATCATCATCACCATCGATAAACCGCAATGTTACAATCGACCTGTGTCGCCGTGTAGGGAAGTCTGTAAGGTTCAACTTTACCTACAGAGGACAATGGATATTAATCAGCGAAGTTATCTTCAACTCAGGTAAGTTAAAAGAGCTCTAAAAGAAAATTATCATTCCTGGTTCTATGGCATTTCGCCAACCCTTACGGGTTTTTTCCCCTAAATTTCCGAAGGAGCCTTTGCAGCTTTGTTATCTGTTCCTCTCACCGTCTGGTCGAGACCGCTTTCAGAAAAACGGTTTCTTCGGTAATGTGGTTTGACGCCACAAGCAGAAAAAGTAAATCAATATTTAATAATTTATGTTAATGACTTTTTTTTTCTTTTTCATTAATTTAATTATTAATTTTTTGATGTGGAAATGCAATAAATAGTATGTGAAATTAGTTAATAGTCAATTTCCATTGCATTGGTTGGAAAAAAAATTAAATTCAGTTTTCAATTCGTATACTTTGGCTAAATAATCCTTTAATTATAGTTCAAATGATTCTTTAAGGGGTGTCTAATAAAGGTAACACGGCAGTGAACTGCGTTTAGCAGTCCTGTCCTATTATACTGCGTGTGATTATGTGATTGGTTCGATAATTATTATTAGACTTGCAGAGTTGGTCAATCTTTATTTCATTGAGATGTATTTAGTCAAATAAAGTCATGCCTATCTTTTATTGTTACAGAGCCACTGGGAGAAAGGTCTCCTCCAGCAGTTTATTGTGTTCCAAGTACTACACACCCTCGATACACAAGTAGTACCTCGGAATACAGCGCAAGTGCTATTAGTAGCACCACATCAACTGGAAGTGAGACATACGAAAATGATTTTATTGTTTACCTTCATAATTCTCGTGCTAATTCTGTTGTATCCCCAGTGTCGGTGTTTCAACTGCCCAAGAACCTTTCCAAAAGCTATATACGGCATACAAATTAAAAAAAATACTCATATCTACCTGACTTTTCCAGAGATAGAAAAACAACCAGCTCATCTGAAACCGTATGGCACGTAGTGCTTTATCATAAAAGAATCAAACACTAAATCAACCAATCGGTCAGTTCATCAAGCGTGTTAACAAATAACCAGTCCGTTATCTAGTTACACGGTCTTTCCGTTAGTCAGTTAGTCTGTCTATCGGTCGGTCGGTTAAATAGTCAGTCGGCGTGTGCTACAACCAACTAAGCTGCTATCATCTTCTACGGGGCGACTACTGCTATTACAGAAAAGAAGCCTGAAAATTATTTTCTGTACTTGGTAAAATTGCAGCTCATCTGCGAGGAACATTGTTTTACTTGATTTTTATCCGCAGGTCAAATGAAATTTTTTTCAGTTGGATGATGAAAAGATTTTAAGTAATTGAGCAGATCATACAAAAAGTAACGATCTGTTTTCATTCCGTTGTAAAATTTTGGTGCAGCCATATAGAGCAAGCCATCGTTTGTGTAGCGAGCTCTATTTAACAAATAGAGAAGCCTTGACTGTGCTCTGTTCTGTTATAAAGTTCGGATATAACGCGCGCTGTCATTGGTTGAAAGAGCGTGCTCTATGAGAGTTTATAATAAAGTTCGGATATAACGCTATATACGGAAAAATATAAGGAAAAAATATAAGGAAAAACAAAATAGACATTCCGAGTTTTAAAGATTTCCACGCTCAGTTAGATTGCAAGCTTACGTATGGTAATAAAAATCAAACACAGCCCACACTCGTATAGTATATAAAGTTCAGTGTTCAAAAACAAAACAGAAGAAAGCAGAAATGATGAAAAATATAACCAAACGGGCATATCTGTTAAAATTCATACTAACCATGACGGTGTCTGATCGAATATGATCATGCTGAAGTCCATCGCGGCTCGCTCATTATGGCGATCTCCGGTCATCACAGTAAAGCAAGCCTCAGAAACTACATCGGCCGCCCTTCGAGTGAAAAAATAAGAGCTTGCTCTGATATCCTTTCCGATGCGTTGAGTGGATGATGCCCGGCTTTATTTTTGTTGTTTGTTGGATAAGGAACTAAAAGGTCAATGTCGATAGAAAAAATTGGACAGTTCTTCGCGGGTTTCTTCCATATTTCAAAGAGAAGGAAAACTGCACTGCAGCTTCACAGGACGGAAACTCTGAAGCCAGGTAAATAAAATGCTCACGTCATCTTATTTACGCACGGGCGTGCGTAAATAAAAATTTTGTTCATAGCAGCTGAATAGGACTTATACAGGGCAAGCACGCGCGCTATGTTATAAAGTACAATTTGGCAGATGGCGTGACAGCTTTAGCTCAGCTCTATACTCTATAGTCTTATAGAGCACGCTCTTTCAACCAATGACAGCGCGCGTTATATCCGAACTTTATTATGATAATGAGTCTTTTTTTTTTAGCCACCGTCGCTCTATCGGCCAAGGGACCTGATTGGGTGATATTAATCTCATCTCTGACAGTGCTCTTCGTCATTGTAGTAATCCTCGGTATTGCTTGGTCATTCCGACGGAAGAGACGCCAGAAAAAAGGTAATACATGCATCATAACCTGTCAATTCCTTTTCAAAATAAATGGATGGCAAGAGAAGAATTTCGTTCAATTCGGATGTTCAATCTATTTCAGAATACAATTTTGTGCTCAAAATTACTTTGAAGATATAAAATGATCTCTAACTTGCAAGGGTACTTTCAATCAAGTGTCTAAACTAATCCAGGATTGCGTCGTTTTGTTTCCCTTCGCTATGTTCATTATTCAAACATATAATGGGCCCTGCACAAATCAATCCAATCAATTTGGACAGTTTACCGATGTTCCTTTCTTCTGGTGAGCCATTGTGATTGCTTTAGCTTTGCTTTCAAGACTCTCCGATGAACTGCGCTCGTCTAAAATAAAACTATGCTATTGAATCCACACGACCACATTATCTCCCTCATTAATGACGGTAATAGGATAAGTGGAGTCCAATTCGGTCTGTAATCATACGAGTGATTAACAAAATCGCTACTCACGACTATGATTGCAGACAGAATTGGACGACACGAAGTCCTGTGACTGATTAATCAAAACTATGAAAAAATTTGAAAAAAGAAACTAGACATAAAAAACGGCAGTTAACTTGGCGAAATGCGAGGCAACAGCATGATGTGTTAACTGCCCCTTTAACTGTCCGATTACATTGTCTGATTACACGATCAAGATACGGAAGAACCTGCCCGAAATGATTATGAAGAAATTGAGCTGTCTCCACCTGCGATGATGGTATGTTTATGTTTTCATTCAGTAAGGGAAGATTTCACTGATTTCGAATAATTAACAGTTATTCATCACCGAGGTGGAGATAAAGATCCAGAACTTTCACTGACACTGAGGTGTATAATCACTGGATACAAGAGATGATAATCTCTTGTTTTAATACATAATTATGCTTAAAGATCTACGTTAGTGTATTGCTGATAACGTGTCGATGGAACTGGTGAGGTCAGTGGAGGTCGGTGTCGGTGGAGCGTTCATACCTTGTTAGCCATTATCACCTATCTTTCACACATCCTTTTAACCAGGTAGATATTGCAGTATTTGTTGAACTCCTCAGCATTTTCATGAAAGAGTTAAGGCTTAGAATCTGGACCCAGGGCTTATCATCGCCGTATGAAACTTTGATTAGTACCCCAAAGGGTCTTTCACCTCTTTTAAGAGAAATGATAAGGTTATATTTTTTGTCATTGCCCTCGTTCACAAATCAGTTAATAAATCTTGTATTGATTATACACGTTTTGTTTTTGTGCTTCCCGTAGGTGCCTAGCGACCGTGCCCAGACTCCTGTATATGCCCAAGTGTCAAGCGCTTGTTCCTATACCTACACACACCCGTACACGCCAATAAAGACAAATAATGGGAAAGAACACGAGTACGTCAATCAGATAAAGACTGCGGACTACGAAAATACGTATATGCCTCTCACTAATCTTAAGATGTCAACAGAAGATTCTCGTGCATATGCATCGCTTTTGCCGTCTAAAGAGGAAGAGAACAACCTTTAGGGCGCCGGTGAATACACTTTTCTATGTTTTTATAAGAACCTTTTTCATCAGGAAGTTCAGGCTGAGATTGACCAAAATTTCAAGAACATACTAAGAACACACCCAGACTGAGAGTCAGTAAAGAACGGCTTTATTTTGCTAAATTTTTTTCGGTCGGAATATACATATATATGCATGCCTCTCACCGATGCCCGCAATACTAACATGTCAGCTGACAATTCGCGCGCTATGCATCGCTTTTGAAGTCTGAAAAAGATGACGATGGCAGTAAATACGTTAATCAAATGCAGGCTTTGAGGCCGGGTTTCCCGAGAAATGATGAAATTTAATCAGCATTGGTGTGACTCTTTTCGTTTTACAGCCTCTCTGATGGTTTATTTTTTTTCTTTCTGTGATTTTCTTTTGCTTAGGGTGGTACCGTACGATTTGTAGAGAAATCCATAAATAACACTTATTGCCTTTCGAAAAACCTATCGACATCACAGATTGCACTCTCAGTGGAACATTATTCGCGAGCTAATTAGCAGTTTCTGTGAGGTAATCTAGTGTTCCACCCAGTTTTTCCTCAGCCTTTTTGCGGCTTCCCTGAGAAACGAGCGTAAAAGAACGGGTAACTGGTGACGAGGATAAAGCATGTGGGACCTTGAACACTCAGTGCATACCCAGTGATTTTAGCCGGGAGACGTCTAAGATTTACTGTCACTGTTGCTTTTTAGTCAGTCTTTATGCGCCTTTTGAAGTCAGAAGAGTAACAAATTTGTTAATTTCAAGTTTTTCGGAAAATTAATCATTTTCATGGGTTGTAACAATAACTCTTTCTTCACGGTTGATTGAGAAGCATTATTGTGTGAAATTTAAGTTTATTTCTTTTGTTTGGAAATCGAAACGAATCACAAAAATGATTTCTTTTTGAAGTAGCTAACATTGTAGCAAACAGTGAATAATTTTTTACTAATCAGAATACATCCCCGAAATGCCTGGCCCTCTGTTTAATATTCAAGGAACAAAAAAGTATGACACATTGCACAGAAATTAGTGACTTCTCGCTTATATTTCAGATTTATGGCGACTTAAGCACCACTTTCAAGGGAATTCGGAGCGATTAAATGATGCCTGATGTTCCAAGTCTTCTGCTCCCTAGGCATGGAACTCCAGTGTACTGTCTGAAGATGATCACCAAAAATTTCGCATCTAAACGTTAGAGCCCACATTATTAATGAGTCTAGCGCCTCTTTTTAGTCACCGACAATGTGTTGAGCTTCAGCAAGATAGTGTTGCGTGAGGTCTAGGGGCAGATGCAAACCATTTACAATGTATAATAAATAAATGATAATTTTGAACCAGTTTGAAGGTGCTTCTATGCAATTTCATAAGGTAACTATGAAGTATTAACAGTAAAAACCTAGTTTCATAACTGTGCGGTTAAAGTCCTGACCCCGTATTTAGATGTCGCGGTAAAGACCGAGTTAAAATGTTCCGAGCACATAGCATCAATTTCAAGATCTGGTAATAAAATCTGGGCTTGGTCATGTAGAGTATTCTAAATTACCCGAAAAGAAAATGTGTTGGCCATTGTATGATCCAAATTAAAATAACCTTGTACCTCTTGGGACCTGCACTACAAGAAAACATCGAACAAGTCCAGAGAACTGAAAACCGTACTCTGCGTACTTTGCGTGACATCTCAAAGAACGACTGCGAAGAACGCTGACTGACGACCAGTAGGAGAGGTTCACAGTCCGCTCGCTTTTAAGCTAGCACACTGCTGGAGACCTTGCTTCCTTGTGCCAAGTCGCTTGGAAACCGGGTTATGACTCATCACCTTTCAGTGTCTTTCCCACATCTCTCCCCCTTATCAACAAGGCCGCGCGGAAATCGATCGAGTAAAGCTTATAGACCACAAACCGGAAGGTTTTATGAGTTTCTGCTTATGTTGGCACCAAGGACTTTTGACGTGTCCTTTTTCTCTGTTCTCTGCTACCATTCTACTGACAGAAAAATTACTTCTCTTCTCTTCTCTTAGCCACTATGCATGGCTGGGACTACTGATCGGTTCGTACTTGCCCCTTGTAACTCTGGTAGACTCTAATTAAATCTGATCGATTGACTGCGACCTCCATAGCACATGCTCATATATTTATTAACGATAGGCATGACAGAACATTCTGGCCAACTGACTTTAAAAGATTAAAACTTATTGTCAAAACAATATCCCAAACACTTTCACAAGAATGAAACAAATTGATATTGACGAACTTCATCCTTCCGATCAAACAATTGCTTTTTGACTTCAGCTGGCAAAAAAAGAACTTTAGTATGGGTCCAAGGAAAGGTCAGCGGACAAACTACGCACGTCCACTGAAGGAAGTTAATCGAGACAGTCACAATCAGGAAACTCATCGTAATAGCTTACTCTAAACAACTTTGAACTTAAAATCCAAATCTCAACTAAATTCCTAATATAGTCAAATGACTGAAATCATAACCCCCTAACTAAATAATTTACTACACGTATTTTCAGAAAAAGACGTATGTCGTTGTTTTGTTGCTCAATCGATACCTTGAAAAAAAAAATCAGTGCCGCTTAACAATCTTTCTATAAAAGGGCGTAAATAGAGAATAATACATGGACGCGCGTAGATATGGAATTTCTCTTTGAGTGTTTAACTCGATAGCTCACGAGTGAGCACAGCGAACGAGTGAGATGCCGAGTTGAACACGATAAGAGAAATTACATATCTACAAGCAACCATGTATTATTTTGTTTATCATATAAACACAATAGCCCTTTACTGACAAGAAAGCCGACCTCATTAATGAATGAAAATAAATAAAACGACAATCCCCAAATAAGAATCGTAGAGTGCGTTGGCGATACCTCTTAAGATGGAAAAATGTGTTGAATACTGATTACAAAAACAACAATGTTCGTAATTTTCAATTTAAAAAATTCTCATTTATTGACTTTGTCCTTACCGATAGAAGAAGTCTTTCAGGTAAACGGCCAAAATCAGCTTGGGCAAATCTTCCAGTTGTCGATTTTCATTCTTAGCCGAGAGAAATGCTAACACCAAAGTATGACATACGTAACTTTTGGTTTTTCTTTTAGTATATTGATTTTCTTTCCCTTCTAGGAAAGTTTGAACCGCACTGTCTGCCAGCGAAACGGATTTTTTAGTGTTTTATCTGCCGTAATTCGAGAAAGCTCCGACAAACAACTTGTATTGAGAATCGTTAACGCTTTGCCATTCATCAACCTGACCGAGTGGTGCCAAAGGCGAGTGAAGTGTCAGCAGCTGATTGGCTATATCAACACACATGAAAAAATACGATATATTTTCACTCGTGTTGCTACGGCTTTTCTCTGGGCCAGAAACCCCTGTACAACACCGCAGTTTATGTGATAAATAACGTTATACAGGTATCCTTCTAAATTTCCTAATACTGGATAAAAAAGTTGTCGAACTCTTTAGCAATGCAGTTAATTTAGCTTTTAAAGTCAAAGGCCTGCCTCACTTTACTCCCAAACAACGCAACTTATCATAAACTGACGAAATACCGCAATCATCCAAAGATGGACAATCAAGAAAAGGCAAAATTTAAAGTTAATAATCATCAGGATGTTTTTAGAAGAACACGAGAAGGCTTGGTAAATCACAAGGTTTTCTAATTAGTGGTTTTATCTTAGTACTGTAGGATCTTAGAAAGCGGTTCGGGTTTTTGTTCTGAACCCCGTGACATTGGCCGTGCCTCGATGACGTCGCCAACAGACTTGCACCTCACTCTCCACAACAATTGTCTTAATTTAGTCAAGTTAGAGTACATTCCACCAAAGTTTCCTTACTTTATACCTAAAAACGTATTGTTGAGGGCCCTTGATATATTTTAATCGCGATTAAATATTATCCTTTGAATACAATTGATTTCTTTGCTTCTGCTTTTATCGGAGGTTTCACTGAGGCCTCGACGAAATGAGCAGTTAGTATGAAGAATGTTTCAATTTGGGAAAATGTTTATATACAAGTTTAAATTACGGATAGTATGCGGGAAAACAGGCATTGAACGATAAAACGTGTCTTGAAAACCCATAACTATGTTAACGATATCCCAACAGCACGTTCCAAGGGTCCTTTGAGATCTTTAAGATTTGTAGTGTTAAGGGGGCCAGAACGATGAATTCGTATGTTTGCCAGCGAAAGGGTTAGCAATGACGTGAATTTATAGAACATTAAATAATTATAGCAGAATACAAAGTAAATGGGATTAAAATTGGCAGAAATTCTACGAACTAAGCAGCGGGATGGATCCGGGGGGAATTCAGGAAATTATCTCCTAAGGAAATATTGATTCTCTGGATGATCCATATGGAACTGAATCAAGAAACTGTGGCCGAAAATCCTTCATTGCCTAGAGGGGTTGGGCAGAGCGGAAGCTGATTTTTTATTTTAGGCATTGTTAAGCTCCTAGTTTAGAGTTTTTTCAGAGCGACTTGGAATGATCAGCCTAACGATGTCTCAAATTCATCTCGTCATTGGAAGTTTCATTTTGCTATGTTTTGAACAAGTCATTTCTCAAGGTAACCATCCTCAGAGACCTTGGAGAAAATGGTCGGGAAGAGGAAAATAAAGGACGATTTCGGTTCGACCCGAATTCCCATCGAGTCAACTTTCGCGTCGAAAGTTGAACCGAAACCGTCATTTTACATTCGGTTCGACCCGAATTCCCATTAAGTCAACTTTCGCGTCGAAAGTCCAACCGAAACCGACATTTTACTTTCCTTTTACCAGAATATTTGCACCTGAGTCTCCTGGATTATGATCAAATGATAAGTAAACTGTATCACATACTGGTATTAATCAAAAGGCATTGACGAACATTTTAAGCGTCTAAATATATATGTATGCTACCTTGATGTTTACATGGCTCCGAAAGCGGCGGTACAAAAACGGAAAAATTGGAATGAAATGAATTTAGCACCTCTGATGAATAGTTACATGCACTATTAAGCAGCAGATTAGCATGTCATTCCTACTCGTTCCGTAGGAATTGTCACATATGAGATGCTCCACGGTAACTCACTAAACGGGAGATACAACACTTCACTGATTCAAGCTATGATAGTTTGACTACAGGCTTCATTCTATCCTCTGGGTTAGGAATGCTTATGGATGGACTATTGGCCAATGTAGATCTTACTGTAAATAATGGACTGGGTTGGATTGGCTAGAATGTCATGGAAATCCCTAAACCTTAAATAAAATTCCACTTCTTAAGCGAAAAGATTTTTAATTCAGCGACATTTCATTGAAACGTGAAAGATCAGAGTCGCATCAAATTGTTTTCCAAAGTGGAAGTGAGTTTTAGTAAAAATGGTGATGACCTTGATACCATGCAAGACTACGAACAGAAAGAAATTTCCAGCCCATCATCATCATCGATAAACCGCAATGTTACTATTGAACTGTGTAGCCATGTCGGGAAGTATTTGATGTTCAACTTTACCTTCAACTCAGGCAAGTTCAGTGGTTGGATGGCACAACCCCAGGTTACTTCTGAATGTTAAAACGAGAGCCTCTTTTATTTTGATAGGTTTTTTGTTTCTTTCACTGTCTGGTCGTGACCAGTGGCAAAAAAACGTTTTCCATTGTAATTGGGCATGACATGACAAGCAGCAAGAAGTGAATCCTAACAAATTCTCATGATAAATTCGATTGTTTTTTTTCTTTTTATTCTTTATTTGTACATGTAATATTTAAGATGTGAAATGAAGATATTGTTAACTTTAATTGTATTGGTCAGAAAAAAATTAAATACTGTTACCATGCAACACAATTCTAAAGGAGTTCTTTTAAGTCCCAGAGCATGCTGTGCTGCATATGTTCTGCGATTGCTTTTAGTAGACTATCTTTAATATCAAATCTGTTCTTACCAGAGATGTATTTAGTCCAGTTACGTGATGCCTAAGTCAACTCAAAGAGTTTACTGTGTTTCAAGTAGTTCCCACCCTTTGCCCACAGTTACTACCTCGAACTACATCGCAAGTAGCATTAGTGAAAAGAAGACAAATGAAGGTGAACACGTTTACTTTCACAATGATCGTACTAATTCTGTTGTGGTCGCAAAGTGAGTATTCAACTTTTTTCAAACCTTACCAAAAGCCACGTTGGCATAAAAATTATGGACCTGACTTTGGCGGAGCTAGAGAAGCAACTAGTTTATTTAAGACTTAATCGTATGTAGTGCTTTATTGGAAAAGAATGGGCAAAAAATCAAACAATAAACAATTTAATCCGACGGATCTAACATCTTTCAATCAGTCAGCTTATCAATCTGTCAGTAAGTTAATTAGTCAGTTAGTCAGTCAGTCAGTAAGTCAGTAAGTCAGTTAGTCAGTCAGTCAATCAGTCAGTCAGTAAGTCAGTCAGTCAGTCGGTCAGTCGGTCAGTCGGCCAGTCGGTCTGTCTGTCGGTCGGTCAGTCGGTCGGTTAATCAGTCAGTCAGTCAGTCATTCAACCAGTCAGTCTTTCAGCTGGTCAGTCAATCAGTCTTTTAGTATGCAAGTCACTGAGTGAGCTTTTTATCAACACAAGCAAAAATAAATAATTAAACTGATTCTACATTAAGTAAACATTTGTCCTCATTTACAAAATTTTCGTGCAGCCTTAGAGAGCTCGTCGTCGCTTGAGTAGCCAACTGTCTTAAAAAACGGCTTTTTTCCAGGCACCGTAGATTCATCGGCCAAGGGACTTGACTTCGTGATATTAATCTCATCTCTGACAGTGCAGTGTTTAAGTTTAATAATCCTCGGTATTACCTGGACACTCCGACGGAAGAGACACCAAGAAAACGGTAACATACACATCGTGGTCTTTAAGTTTTTTTTTTCTTTTTTGCGACAGCTAGCGTAATTTTTTTGTTTGAGATAGCCAGAGCAGTAGCTGCTTTTCAACCGCGCGTTATGGTTTTGGGTGTGCAGCCATTTTATTAAGTTTTCATGGGCGTTCCAGTCGAATTATTTGCACAATTAAAGAGCATTCTCAAGCTGTAAGTTTTCTCTATAAAACCTAGAACGCGGTAATTTTTTTTATTTTCTAAGCACTTTTCTGTGCATGGTTTCTACCCATACTTCATCTTTAAGGGCGGAATTTAAAATCGCGACTTTCACATTTCGATCAGTGTTGACAATCCACTTGGTTGTTTTCCTTGATATATCACTTGTAAGTACACCAATGATGATTATGTTTTCGTTTTGGTTTCCCTCCTATATATGCATATAAGAAAAAGAGCTGATGAAATGTATGACATTTATTTTATATTCAATGGCATTTTAAAAAATGCCATCAAACTCAGCTTTTCAAACTAAGCTCATCCTCATCCTCCTTCTCATCATCATTCTCATTTTATCTACTGTCAAAAATGACAACATACTTGGCTTTTTATACTAAGCTCATCCTCCTCTTCTTCCTCATCATCATTCTCACTCCATCTACAGTCAAAAATGAAAACATACTTTGCTCTTTATACTAAGCTCACCCTCCTCTTCCTCCTCCTCATCATCATTCTCATTATATCTACTGTCAAAAATGACAACGTAGTTGGCTTTTTATACTACGCTCATCCTCCTCTTCCTCCTTATACTTCTCCTAATCTTCATCCTCCTCCTCAGTGTCGGTGGGTATCGGTATCGCTGCTCAGTAAATATCTTCATCACATATACTGCGGTGTTATACAGGGATTTCCGGCCCTGAGAAAAGCCGTAACAACACACGTGAAAAAATATCGTATTTTTTCACGTGTGTTGATATAGCCTATCAGCTGCTGACATGTCACTTTTGCGCAATGAACAGCAAAGCCTGCACGATTCTCAATACAAGGTACTCTATCGGAACTTTCTCGGATTGTGGCGGCTAAAACACTAAAATATCCGTTTCTAACATATCAGTCGACAATTCTCAAGCTTATTCACCGCTTACAAAGTCTAAAGAAGATGACGATGAATACGTCATAAAGTTCGTCGCAGGCTTACGAGAGGAGCGAACCTTCGTATCTTTCTACAGGTACCGAAGCACAGATTAGATAAATTTGAGTTCTCCAACAAACAACAAAATTCAATCAATTTCAGCAATTGGAATGGGCCATCAAATTGAATGAAAAGAAACACGAAATAAGACAGTAAATGAAGTAAGAGAATTTAATATCACCGGTAATACTAAGTAAATATAATGTAAAAATACAGTCGACTCCCGTTATTGCGGACACCCTCGGGGGGAAATTTAGTGTCCATTATAGCGAGAGTCTGCAATAGAGGGGTACCAGAGAAAAACAAATTATTTTGTATTTAAACAAATGAAATAATTTGTAATTTGGTAATTTTTAATTTTTAGTCATTTTGAACTGTAACCACACAAACATAAAGTTTCTAACGTGGTCTCACGAACCGGAAAAAGATCCGGCCGCAAGCAGGAAATTCTCATGTTCGCACCCAATTGAAGAATGGTTTCTTTATTTTCCTTCATCGTAATGTCGCTTTATATTCTGTCAGTCAGGATTTTTGGAGGAAAAAATAGGGAAAACTCTAGGGAGAGAGCATGAAAGTGTCCGCATTACCTTGAAAGCGAGAGTCCGTACTAACGGGAGTTTATTTCAGCCATTTCTTTGTACATTTCGCTGGAGGGCTGGCTGTTGTCCGCAGTGGTGGGTTGTCCGTAATAACGAGGTGTCCGCAAGGCGAGAGTTGACTGTAAGATGACTTAAAATACAAATAAAGATACGTGAAATAATTGTCAATAATCAACACATCTTACAACGATGTGCAGGAAGAAGCTCTCGTGGACTTTTTACAAGCTACATGTAGTGTAAGGCTGTTAATCAATGCTTATATAACATTATCAGGCTCATCCTTAGACTGACCTTCCGACGAATCTTATAGGCAAAAAGAGATGAGCTTTAGGCTGATCTTGAAGAATAAGACGATATGTAAGATTTATGACGACACATTGTTGGATTATAATTTTAAAAAAACCCTGCAGTCACTAGATAAGAGTTTGGTCCTTGTTTTGTCCTAAGTTGCCCTGCTTTGGCTTCTTTGCTTGAGAATCAAGAAATTCAGAGAAACCAAGCCTAATTTCCGCAGATATATAATATCAAAATATCTGGGCACAGCTAAAAGCATGATGTGCCATTTCTACGAGCGCAACTGCAAAAGCCTCCTTTGTATGTAGGAACGTTAACAATATGCATTGTTAAAGTAATACAAAATTCACGTATCCTCATTAGTCGTTAAGGGGTCGAGCGTCATTCTTCTCAGTTCCTCTCTCATTGCGCCCGCCCTTAGTAGAGAATCATGTGCCAAGTGCTCTGCTCCCAATGCTTCGTACGTGCGAGCAAGCAACTCTAATGTAGTGGCAGTGGCGGGATGATCACCCAGAAGGTCGCGTCTAAACTTTTGAGCCTCCAATAGTGAGTCTAGTGCCTCGCTGTAATCACCCATTTTATACTGAGCCTCACCAAGGCAGTGGTAGGTGAGTGCAGTTTCCCGATGTGCGCCAAGAATGTTCTTTCTCAGATCTAAAGCTGACAAAAATGCGTCACGAGCCATGACGAGATCACCCATTTGGCAATAGATTGATCCTTGTAAATGGAAAGATGTCGCGGTCTCCTCGTGTCCAGGTATCAAGCCAAGTCGAATGCTCAGCGCTTGCTGGCACAATGTAAGGGCTTCTGAACAATTTTCAGATTTCAAATACGTCAAGGAGAGGTTTTGGTAACTAGACGCAGTGTCTAAGTGGTCCCCAAGAAGATTTTTTCTCATCTGAAGCGCATTCTGAAATGGTTGCAGGGCAGATTTGTAATCACTCATCTTCAAATATGTAATCCCCACTCGTTCAAAACTGGCTGCTGTAAGGATATCTTCGCCTAGGTATTTCATCCTCAATTCCAAACCCTGGCTATGTGCATCTCTAGCCTTTGGGAAATTCTCCATAATGAGATAATTTTCTCCAATTTGGTAATAAACAGAAGCGGTATCCAAATCATCGTCCAACCGTAACTTTGTCCGTACATTTAACGAGCGTTGAAGAGCATTTTCGGCCTCGGTATTCCTTCCTAACTGGAACAATACACAACCTAGTCTCATGAGACTAAAAGCCGTCTGAACATGATCCTCGGCTTTTTCTTCTCTCTTGCGCACAGCCAGGTCATAGGATTCCGCTGCTCCTTGGAAGTGGTTCAATAAAACCTGACAATGACCGAGTGAGTCTAGATTTCTCGCTAATTCTAGTTTGTTAAGCCCAACGGATACATTTTCTAAAGATTTCAAAATACTTCCGAGAAATTCACACGTGTGCTTGAGGTCATTTAAGCTACAGGTATTAGGGCTTTGGAGTTCTTCTGAAATCTTCACTCTGATTTCCAAACAGCCAAGCAATGAATCAAAAGCTTCCCTGACCACATTGTCATCACTGCTGTGGCTCCAATCAAAATCATCTCTTAAGAGTTGCACTCTAATTTCTAAGGCCTTCTTAAAACAATCAAGTGCTGCTGTCCTATTCTCCGCTTTCTCATGCGCCAAGCCAAGAAAATGGAAATTTCTAGCAGCGTCTCTACTATTTCTATTTTCTTTGTCCAAGTAGTCAGTAATAACTTGGAAACCTTGAGCCGCTTCCTTAGCAAAGTTCATGATTCGTAAAGCATCACAACAAGATTCCAAAACTTGAAAAGGAAGAGCTCCATTCTCAAATAACCTTTTCAATATCTCGTACTGTTTTTGTAAACTGGTGGTCATCAGCGTTGCTTTCCTCTGGACTTCAGGATTAGCGAAAACTTTGTACAAGCTCGGCAGCAATTTTGCTATTAATGCAAACATAGTTGCATCCTGCTCAGCGACACTAGACAACTCAGCGCTTTGGTCTATTTCTTCTACTGGGTGGCTCATCATTGAAAAAAGGTAGCGGATCGCTCGACTCGACGACACTGACTTAAGGCTCTCGACACGGCACAGGTTTTCGAAATATGCTATTCTTTCCTCATCCTCTTTCGTCGTGTAGTAAACTGCTAAAATATGGTTGGCGAGTATTTTGAGAATTTGCTCATCACACCTGCCGCTGCTTAAAAGATCAACAGCAATCTCAAGAGAAGATACACCTTCGTCGAGGTTGCCACAAAGAAGTTGGTATACACTTCGATAGCATAACATCTTCCCTGTCCAGGGTTGCGGTGACTCGTCCCAGACTTGACTACGTGCGAAAAACCAACCCAAGTGACCAAATGCTTTCGCAGCTTTTAACGCATATTCGTCGCACAAGTTTCCCTGTTTCTTCGCCTCTTTTAATGCTGTGTCGTAAAGATCGTGAAATAAAAACTCTTCATGATATAGTAGAGAGTAAAGGAATAGCTCTCCGGTGGAAATAGAGTCTATCACTTGTCGATAAAGTGCTTCGCTTCGTGTACCATGGGCTAGCGATGACATAATGCCATCCTGCTGGCTTCTAAAAGCTGCAAAGGCTTCAACAGAATTACCCGTAAGAAACTGTTCATTGGCTGCTGCGAAACAGGAGACGTAGTATTCGTGTAAACGAAGTTGTGCTTCGTTGAATGCATTCCTGATTTCGTCGTCTTTTGAGCACTTTTCAGCAATGAAGGATTGAAGGAGGGGGTGAATAGAGAATGACTCTCGATGATCGTGGTAATTAATAAGAGATTTCTGTTGAAGTGACTTTAGGAATCTAGTCGTAACTCGAGTGTCTCTTGCACGTAGCACGCTTGTAGCCTCTTTTATTCCAAAGAAACCTGGAAAAACGGCCAACGAAACAAACGACCTTCTTTCATCTATTGCGAGTCTTTCGTAGGATTTGTCAATTATATTCCTCAGCCGTAAATCATTTGGTAAACGTTCGTCGTCCAAGACAGCGACCACTGGGATAATTCTTAGCTCCTTACAAAGCTTCGTGGCCGAAGAATTTTCTTCCTTGATGATGCCGCACATCAGCTTCATGGCAAGAGGAACCCGGCCGCAAGCCCTCACCACTCTCTTGCAGTCATCATCTTGAACATCTGGTAACAGGAGTCTTACTAATTCAGAAGAGGAAACTTCATCCATCTCTTCCACTTTTACAACGGTAATGGCAACACTATGGTGCAGATAGTCCATTGACTCACGCGTAGTGAACAGAAGGCGAACAAGATTGCACTGTTCCAGGATCTCTTGTGTTACTTGGAGCATGTCATCTCTCAGAGGCCCATTCCCTGATTCGAGTACATCGTCAGCATTATCAAAAATCACGACAAAGGGATCTCGAAACTCTCGTAGGCATTGAATCACTGTGTGGAAGGGTGAAAAGTGTGTTGCTTGTTTATTGGTGCCTGCGAAAATGCTTAGCAACTTTGAGACAATCTCCTCTTTGCTTTTCACACCACGAACAGAGATGAAGTACGTAGGAGTATTTCTCTCACGCAAGTGATGTGCTACCTCGATGGCCACTGACGTTTTCCCAAATCCTGGTGGACCCCAAATGTTGACTAGCCGACTGTCTCCTGAAACTAATGGATTTAACACGGCGTCGCATTCCAGTTCACGACCAACGAAAAGCGGTTTCTTATCTGGAAGACAGGATATGGGAGTCCCAGAACCTGATAAGAAAGACATGACGAGGAAAAGTGATAGTGAAAATGAATTCGTATGGTCCATTTGTTGGAGGCTAAATAGAAAAGTTTAATGTCTTCAAGGTATCAATGTGTACTAGTGCCTAAACAGCTACTATCCGGCCATAAAAAGTTGATATCTGATCCGATAACCTCGCCTATTGAAACATACGACACAAGCCGGACCACAACAACGAAATCTAAGTCCCTTTCAATATATGGAGCAGCGATGGGTGTCATTTAATGTCATCAACTGGTTTGGCTTATGGCCAAAACAAATTGGCTTCACTAAACTCCATGACGAAAATCAAACTGTTCAAAAGTCTGGGAGCTGGCCTGAAGGTGTAGAGGGGAAGAAAAGGTCCAATAACTTGACTACTGCTCATCATGAACGGATGGGCAATGTGTCTAAAAAAAAAAAATTCTAGAGATTGGTCTCTATAGTACCTTTTGCCACAGCGTTCAAGGCAAATTAAACAATAATTATTAATTGAGCATGGAATCCACAGATTTCTAACCTGTTGAGTCTCGTTCTCTTTGTAGAGTTTGTTTGATATCTTTAAGGGTATTCTCAATTTCTTCAAGCTTGGTGGAGGTATCCCGCATTTTCTTTAAATCCTCCTCCAGTTGTTCCACCTTAGAGGTAGGAAAGTCTTCCTCTGCCAGGGTGCCGATAAAGTCCAGCTGAGAAACGTCATAACTGATTGCTTCGAAGGCTTCCTTGGCTAACTGAATATAATGATCAAATGTTGTTTTATCAATAGTTCCCGTACCATTCGAGTGGAAGAGGGTATTGCGCAGCAAGCGGAGTTGATCTAGTGCTAACGCAAATGTTTCTGCATCGTCTCCGTATGGGCTTTGAACAGATGGATGAAAGGATCCGCCAGAAATCCCACGGGGTTTTACATACTTGTCACTCAAATTACGAGCGATTCCATCGCAGTATACCCTCGAAAAGCTTTTCGCAAACAGGGTGGCCTGCAGAAGAGCTGTGCAGTCCCACTTTTTAAAAGATAGATCAGTTGGAACCTTGGTCATCCCACCTTCTTTACTGAGGAACATCCCTCGAACATCGGGGGAATCGTCCCACGGTTTGCAACCTGGAGTATGGCCATGTAAAGTGTCCCACATGTTAACAAATGCGTGTCGCAAAGCATTTGGAAATTCGTCAACAATGATGGCACTGAATTTGAAAAAGTTGAGTTGCTCAGCCGTAAAGGTAGACATAGTCGCTGGGTTGAGTATCCTTTGAGGTCCCTCAGCAAAATAGCAGCAAAGGGAAAATCTATCACAGAAAAAGGAAAGTTAAGGGTTTTTGTTAGCTTTTCAATTTGTTCCTGTAGTCATGCAAGATTCTTTTCTAGAAAATACAGAGTATGATTGCTACTGTATCGTGTCATTTACGTAAATTTATCGTAAGTTGTATTCGCAAGTAGAAATAAATGAAATGAAACAGATCATGCATCATTGTCTTATAACTGCCAACTGCACCATACCAGCCGCCCGAAGGGACTTAAAAATATAGTAATGCATGTTCATGATAGGAAAATTTTTTAGGAAATTCTTCAATGAAAAGGAGGATGGACGCATCCAAACTAGTTGCTGGACACTTTAATCTCTCTAATCATTCTAAGCAGCACATGGCATTCTGCGGCCTTTTCCTTACATCTAGGCAGTTCAGAAAGTCGCAAAACTCTGGAACAAAAATTTTTCTTTCAAATCGGCACCCTTAACTGCCCACGGTATCAACGAATGCTTTTCATTCAACTAATTTATTCTTGTTTTTCTTGTTACCATGTTCCCACCAATAGCGTAGCTCCATCTTCTGCATGTAAACGCACACACAACCCACAATTCCTCGATCGCTCGGAAACGTTAGCTTAGAAACCCTTTACAGTGACGGCCAATTTACGTTATCAACTCAGTGGATAAAAGCAAATTCAGTACTTTTTTATACTCCACCAGCAGCAGTACCACTGTTTCTTAAGAAATTTACCCATTCACTTTTAATCTCTTCTAAACCCTCCTGGCTAGTATATACCTGAGGGTTATATTTAATCTGTTCTATACCCTCTTGGGTAGTGTATATCTGAGTGTTATTTTTAACCTCTTCTTTACCCTCCCTACACGGCAGACGCGTAAGACGATTTTCATACCAGTGAATTTGTTCACAATGACCTTAAATGCAATAACGGTGTTTTAGACCAGCTTCTCCCCTGTTATAGTCGTTTTGGCAGGAGTGATGTCTTCGGAAAAGCTAAAAATGCCGTTCCAACACCTTCGCACATAAAAGGTCATTATAAGAATAGTTGCATTGCGCCGAAGCTTGTAGACCAAACAGGGAGGATTATCTAATCAACACAGTTTCTGGACTTTAAAAGTTCTGTGTAAAGAAGGGTTTGTTGGAGTTAACCTTAAATAGGCTTAGGTGTTCGATCATGGAGGCGAAATCGGCTTTACCGGTGCCGCTTTTTTGGCTATTTTTGAGTTTCTTCATTTTACGTGTTTTAAGTGTTCCTGTTATATGTTTCTGTAACATTTGGTCAGGACTATTTGTGAACCTTGGGTTAATGATTTACTGTTGTCTTTTTTAAGACATTTACTGTCTCTACAGAGAAAATAAGCTTAGCGTACTGCCTCAAAGGTTTTTTCGAATTAGACCCGTTAAGTTTGTATAAAGTATTTCTCTGGACTCTTGTTTCTGGAAAGTGAGCGAACAAAGTAGAGTTGTATCTTGAAAATGATTAGAAATGTAATCATCAGAAGTTGCGGTTTTTTCCATTTCATTCGAGGGGAGCTTTATTAACCTTTCTGTGGCGATTATCGGATGTCCTGGAATGTTCAGCGAACACCTCATGCCACCAAGAGGCGTCGAACCTTGGCTTGAATTACTTATGCAAATTAGCTGGCTGCACATTCAATGTGCAGCCAGCTAATTTGCATAAATTTTTTCCGACGCAAAGCTCGTCATGTTTGAATAAACATTTACACTGTAACGCGATGATCTTTGTTTTCAAGCGTTTTCAAGCTAATGCTTTCGGTGAAATTTCCGCACAGACCCGTACTATTTTAAAACAAATCTGTTTTCCCAATGGCAATGATTTGTTTTTGTCATTGTTTTCTTTATCCAAGAACTGAATGCATAATGTAGTATGGGGCTGTGCGGAAACTTTACCATGCTTTCTTCTGCCTGCAGCTGAAACGATGCCCCGAAACGATACACCACGTTACGGTACACAGTTTCTGTGACAGCGAGTTTTTTTTTTCCTTTTTAATGAGCGTAATTAAGAATGTGCGTTAGAGAATTCCACGAAGTTTATAATTTTGAAAAAGGTCAGGATTGTTCTTCATGTGAGAAAGTGTTACAGTCTGTTGCATCTAGTCGCCAATATCTACATAAGCTATGTTATGTGTGAAACATGGAAAAAAATCTTTGCGCACACTCAAATGAACGGACAAAAAAAGGGCTTAGCCGCTATAATGTGTCTTTTAAAAACATGCTTGTGGATAAATGACCATAAGCAACTTAAGTATCGTCTACAGTTCAAAACCTGAAACATCGTAAATTGCGTGACTTGCACTGAAATCGGCTACCATTTACAACGCGTCTTAGGGGTCAAAATTACGATGCAAACTTTATTTCTCTTTTAATCACAAGACTTGCCTTTTTATTTACGATGTGATTCGAAACCAGTCCTCTTTTTCAAATGTTTTGAAAAGGCATCTGTTGCCGAGTCAAATTAATCCTTTATTGCCCACGGGCCCATGCCATAACATAAACCATCACCTTAGGTATTATGTTTCCCATGCGATCGAAATTATCTACGACTGCGATCGCGTTATTGATTATGCTTCGATTTGATGACCACATAACGAGCTAGAGAAACATAAGATTTCTTGTACACATGATAGATTGCTTTGAAGCGGGGACCGGGGCGTGAACATCTTAAAGGGAACACTCCTACCTCACTTGGTTCGTCTTGAGTTCGTAACATTAAAAAGATGTTCTGAGAATCCCATCCGATATACAGTTTCGCAGACCAAAAGCATTACTTTGTAATTGATTGCTCGTACTAAATATGCTCGTTGAACGTGAAGCCTTTCTCTTTATACGACGGATGGTACACGCAGGAAACAGGATGATTATTTTTTCAAGGAGAAGATGTGGATCGAGACCATATTTGCATAGGTCTGATACCTGCCAATCTTTTCTCAGTCGTGATGACCCAGTCCCTTCTAAGAACACTATATGACCATTACACTACATATTTTTCACTTGTGAACATTCAATCCTAGTCAGCGGTTTCTCATGCAGCACGTGTTGAAACAAACAAAATGGCTCTTGAAGAAGGTATACGACATAAATCAGGCCCGCTAAAACAGCAAAATAAAACACACAAACACGGACGGCACAGGAGCAAGAGCGAGGTTGATAAGTCTAACAAAGGTTGTATGTCAGTTTTCTCAATAATGTTCCGTGAAAACTGTTTTTCAGTGCTTGTAGAGCCTCAGAAATGCTTTCTTTTTCTGTTAAAATTAATTTGTGGCCACAATTATTAAGTTGAACAACGATAGCATTTTCTGCATTCGTATTGTTCTTTAAATTCGGTCTCCGTCGATAAGACTCGCTTAAAGATCGTTTCTTCGTATTATATCGATGAAGTTACGATGTAGCATTCTAACATTGTACATGCCTGCAAAGCATACTATAAGATTATGTAGATTATTATAATTAAGATTGTTAGTAAGACCGTATGATGGCGTTATTTGTTCTGCATATACGTGCAATAAGCCCGTGGGTATGAAGCTTACGTAGACACCTTTTCAACTTACGTCAACGTCTCTAACATACTGTGTCCTTGTTCAGGCCGTGTTGGAATCAAAGTGATTTCAAAGAAAGTTCGACAAGCTGTTGGGAAAACCAATCGTAGACACCAGGTTGGTGTTATTTGTGTTTAAGTGAACTGTGCAATATATTTCATTAGGAAATTGTTGCTATGATGAATTGCTCCTAATACTTCAAGCCTATCGCTTCCATAAGTGACCAAGACAGAATTTCTCCTTACAATATCTCTACAATATAAAGCCGACAAGTGATGAGATTAAAGAAACATGAATAAGGCAATCAGTTGATCACTTACCAAATTCTATAAATTATCCAAATTCTCCAAAGAGAAGAACTGTATGATAGACAGAAAGGAGAACAGCTTGGGAGTGAAAGAGTTGAAGGATGTATCAGGCAACTGGTTGAGTTGTATGGATTTTATTTAGTGGCTCTCCATTGAATGAATTCCCTTGTTGTGCTGTTTATCTTGCCCCAGAATAAATATCTCAGCTTCCCCTTTTCTTGCAAATATAGTCAACTGGTCTGGTAATTACCAATTAACCCTTTAACTCCCAAGATCTCATTAGTGATTCTCCTTACTGTTTGCCATACAGTTCTTGTGATGTTAGTTTGGAGAATTTGGTATTTTGATCAATTAATAATTCCCCAATTGATATTTTTTTTTTATTCTCATGACTTGTCTACTGGATATTGTATTGATATTGTAGGGAGAAATTCTCTCTTGGTCACTGATGTGAGTTAAAGTGTTCAGAGATTTCTGTCCTTAATATTTATTTGGACTGTTTATTTTCAATCTTATGACTGGTATTAAATGGATCACCAGCAGCTATGTTCTGCCTTGTAGTCTCCATAAACAGGACTGTGCTCCAGCAAAGCTGGAGTGACACATGGACATGTCACTTCCCTTTTTTTATTGAACAAGTTTTTGATTTTGTTTTAAACAGGCTAAACAGATAAGAGATAAAAGAAGAGAGGAAGTATTGGAACAAAAGAGAAAAACAGGGAAGCAAGGAAGCCCTCCTCATCTTATTGTGAGTGTCATTTAGTTTTTCTAGACACAGCTCAATCCAGTATTTTAAAGTAGGAGAGAAATGTCAGGAAAGTTGTAGTTTGATTCTGCTCAATTTTTGTTTGTTATCATACCTACTGTATAACTTCTGTTGAAGAATAGAAAAATTTAGAAAAAGCTTGGTTGGAAAAATTTTTACGTTAGGCAAAATTTAAACCATCATGATGAAAATTGTAATATAAAATATTACCATTCATTTAATGTGTATTACATGCTTGTATCTCCACATGATTAAGTTCATTTTAATGTTTCTAAGCACTATAGATGACCTTATGCGTTGGCAAATGTGCATGTACATGTAAGGACATAAATTTAAATTCTGCTTGAAAGAAAAATTTCAAATAAACTGACAGCAGGCAAATTATTGCAGCAGAATTGTGAGATTCATATTTATATGTAGTAGTCTCGTTAAAAGAAATAATACATGTATTTGTCTGGTTATTTTGGTTTTAGTAAGAGTGTGTATGTAGCACACTAATAGAAAATTTAAAAGTTGACCAAGTATCATTGTGGGTCTTAATTAAAATTACACACATGATCACCTCCTAATGCAATCACACAAAGTTTATAGCTATAGCTGTTCATAAGGTATTTGATTTCATGTTTTAAAGATGAAAGCGTTTTTGATAACACAAAACTCCAAACATTTTGCAGACTGTTGTCAAGAGACCTGTAAATAGTAACTTTACACTTTTAAATTTCTGTCAGGCAATTGTTCCTCTGTCATCCAATTGCGATGTTGACCAAGCTCTTAAATTGCTCACTGAGTGTGACAGCGATGGCTCCCTCTGTTCCACAAGAAACACTACCACCCTAGTGTGAGTGGCTAAGCAACCATGAACAGTAACTCTTGATAACTACAATTTTTAGAGTCATACACTTAGAAATATTTCACCAGACTGCAATCTAGAATTAGAATAATTTCATAATGGTCATCCATATTATTCCTCAGTGATTGTCCATTTCTCTTCATGTTACTGATACAAAATAGTATAGCTATAAAAGTTGAATTTGATGCTTCATTCAGAAGTAATGTCACAAAAATTTAATTAGTTCATATTATTGCCAAGTGTTCAGCTTGAGCTAAAGTTTGTTACTTAGCTTTTAGCCTTAATTTGATACAAATGTTGGCATGTAGTATATGTATGTATTATTTTCTTTACCACATTTTTTTTTGTGGGCACACTGCCCCCAGGCTTGGGACTTCAGACCTCGATTATTAATAATGCGCATTCAATTCCTCTTTCACTCATTCAGTTCACAGCTGCTGAAGCAGCGATTTTCTTTTCTTCCATTGAAGTATGGGGACCTCTTTGCAGTTTTGGATGCAGCAAAGGTTTGTAACATAATTTTTTTTTAATTAAAATAATGATAGGCCCCTGGGGTAATTTTCTAAACACCATTTACAGAATGCTGTTGATTGATATAGTGTCACTTGAACCTTGAGGTGAATGGTGTGGTGATACACTATTACATGTAGCAAATAAAGTTCTCATAGTTGAACTGATTGATAATTGCAACCAGACATATTTTCAACACATTTTCTGATTTGCTCTATGGATGATGCAGGAATCTGTATATTCTGAGACATTACATGTTGCCATGCCTATAGTTGATATTTCATGGTTTTATAGTTAGGTGTTCATTTTTAGATGATTGACAAACTGGCAAAAACTTATGTTTTTCAACTTAAGGTTTCAGATTCTCTTCTGTTTCTTCTGAATGCCACTCATCCACTGGATTCCTTCGGTGACAAATGTCTATCCTGTATATTTGCACAAGGCTTACCAACATCATTCCTTGGGGTTCAGGTAGGTACATTTACTTTGTGTGTGTTAATTTTTTTTTTTTTTTTTTTTTTTGACTTGTGGGTGTCTTCGCAGTATGAAGGAAAATGTTTTAAGTCACTGTTCCTTGGACTTTTTGCACATTACAGTGGAGGGATAGTTTGCATGAGGAAAGTCCTGGAGAGAAGTGTTGTGTACTTGTAAATGAAAGTTTGACAAGGTCAAAGGACATCATTATCACTCTACATGAACTCAGATTTTTGAAACATTACTCACTGTCACCAATGTGAATGTGTATAATTTATTCCAGGGTCTGGAGGAAGTGCCATCAAAGAAACGAAATGATGTAAAGAAACACATACAAAAGATAGTAGAAAAGAGGTACATGTCTGTCAGTATTATGCTATTTTTAATTAAAACCTTGTTGATCTCATTTTGATAGTGGTCATATACATGTAACATACACGTGTAAAACCATACACTTAAAATATCATTTGGGGTTGCCATAATTGGTTTTACTACTATTGGGATGTAGCTTATACTAAGTAAATCAAAGCTGATGAGGTGTATTGAACATGTTTTAGTTTTGGTACTAATATATAGATTTAGGCAAGCCTAAAAGCGGAGCTCGCAATTTTTTTCCCTGCACGTCTCTTCAACAAAACTAAAGCCCCTACTATGGATAAAGTGTGTGGTAATATTAATGGATTTTCATTCGCAACTTCTCCGTGTCCGTGTAGAGGACTGATTATAAGATAGTGCCCATGGTACAGTTGGCTGCACATGCTAAAAGTAGCACCTTGTATGGTTAGTCGTACAGTTGTACAGTCATACATCCAAATTTTTTCGGCTTGATGGGTTACTACTATTTTGCATAATTATGGGGCTACGCTCTGCGAGCTTTGCTATAATTGTACGGCGAATGTGACAAATCTACATTTTTAGGGTCAATTGTACTTGTATGCACTACTTGGTATCACTTTAGTTAACACTTTAATGTTTAGTCAGTGATGTATTGTATGTAAAGTTTGAAATATTTGTCTGAGGTCATTAAATGAGCTGGCATGCACACTTTTTATTTCTTTTTTCAGATTTCCCAGGGATAAAATTCACAACCTTGAATCCTCACAGGTGAGAAGTCATAGACAAAACACTACTGTACATGTACATTGCACATCAAAAACTTTTATTTAGGGAGCAGTTTACACATAAGGGCTGCTCATCACCTGACTACTTTTTCCATAGTACCTGATAGATAGAGGTAAAGGAATACTCAAATGTTGGATTTCTGTTGTCATGTATATTTCCCTTTTTGATTCTTTGGTTTTTTATTCAGTGGTTTGTTTCTTAACCCTTTAACTCCCAAGATCTGATTGTTAATTCTCCCCTCTAGCTGCTACACATTTCCTTTTAAATGAGTTTGGAGAATTTGGTGTTAGATCAAGAAAAACAACTCCTATGTGATAAGTTTCAGTATTCTCATTACCCATTTGCTGGATAGTGTATGGATGTTATAGGGAGAAGTTACCTCTCAATCACCTCTGAAAGTTAAAAGGTTAACACGTATTTTACTTTTGCGAGATCATTTTCTCCTAGGATGCTCTTGTAGCACTGAGATTGATATCCAATCAGCATCAAAGAGTCATCCATTTCCGTGATATACGTCCCCACCTTTTAGCTGAAAGTACAACATTTGAACCCAACAGTGAGGTGACAGATGTCCCCAGGGGCACCCTGAAGGTGTGTGGTTTTGTCAGAGGGAAGAACCTTTCAGTGAACAGGCTGGTTCATCTGCCGGGATATGGAGATTTTCAAATGTCACAAGTAGGTATTCTAGCAGGATACTTGAAACAATGCTTGAATATAATTAATATTTCTAAAGGCCTCGTAGAAATAGATCATTTGTATCGCGCTTATCAACAAATTTCTTTTACACTTGTTTTCTTCGTTTCATAGATTGATGCTCCCGCAGACCCATTTCCGTGGCAGAAAAGAAAAAAGTCTTCAGGTTTTAGAGGGGAATCAATGGCTGTGGTAAATTTTTGTCTTTTTTTTTGTTCCGGCTTAGTACTTTGTTTGTATGTTATTTTGGTTGTGCATGAATTTTTGTTAAATTCATTTCGCGCACGTAGCTGCGTTTCCTTCAAATTAATATTTTGAAATATCGAACGTTTTAGATCTATTCTTTAAAACGTGATAGCATTAATACTATGGAGGACGTAACACAAAACTCATTCTATGTAACCGTGGAGGTGCATTCTTTCCTCTGTCCCAAACTCTCTTTCATATATTATAACACATACTCTGTACACTCTATCGGTCACTATCCTCTGTCTATCGTGAGATTCCTCAAACAAAGTTACAAAATAAGATCTGAATAAAGTGCAGTGATGGACAACAAAATGCTAAAAATGCCATATGCTATTTGAGATTCCTCAAACAAAGTAACAAGATGAGGTTTGAATAAAGAGCAATGATGGGCCACAAAATACCATTTTCGCTCAAGAAAAGTAAAGAAATGCATTGTCGTGATATCATAGTTGTAGAATAATCCTTTGGAAGTTTACCTTTTTTATTGTATTACCGCACATCATTGCAGGATACTGAGGAAGGAACAACTTCCATGGATGAAGACATCAAGCTTATAGCTCGAGCTGACATAGCCTTTCAGGAATCACTTCAGTCGGAAGTCGAGCCTGACCCGATGGAAGGAGAACAAACATGGCCAACTGATGAAGAGCTGAGGGAAGCGGAAGGTCTGGTGTGACAATGATTATGTTTTATACAATAAAGAGAGATCGTCCTTTTTGATGAATAATGCAGTAGACTGACCATAAGCGATTGCCCTCGACCAAAGTGAAATCAACTGAAATTAAAAGCCTAGACGGTTAAACCCTCTTTTGGAGTTAGAATGAAGAACGAGCCTCTTAAAGATTTTGCAAGCGCCGAAGCTTATGGAAACGCTGTTTATTTTCCGCACTTTTTTTTGCGCCTCTTGGGAACTTATAGCCGTTACAGCTACAGTGTAGCTGTAATGGCTTGTATTACAAAAGGACCACCGGGATATGACGGCACATTCATCGCGGACGATTTCGGGCAAGCCTGTAGTATGCGAGAACCAGACCTTTGGCGCCGTTTCCTCCAAATTTTTTACAAACTATTTCAAGCACAAAGCATGGAAATTTACATTGTAATGCTTCGTATGCTTGAGCATTTGCTTTTTAATTTGAGTTTTGACTCGCAACTATCGCTGCATTGCGTTTGATTTTTAGCAGAGGCCCGCCAAGAAAAGAAAGTTGTGAAGAGGGTGCCCAAAGGAACCTCTGACTACCAGGCCGCATGGATCACAAATAGTGATGATGAAGAAGGCCCGGATGATGACGACAATGATGAAGATTACGACGAGTTTGAGGAAGAAATGGAAGGCAGTGATGGTGATGATTCCATGGTAATATGCGCTAAAATCCTTTTTTGGCGGCAGTCATCTATGCTTTCAAATCTTGCTCCTGTTTAATCCTTTTCACTCTAACATCAGTGTGCATATTCTCCCTACCGTTTTCCATGCGTTTCCCATGGGCCTTTGTAAGTGCAGCTGCGGTATAAATTGGTTCCCTTGAACCAAACAACTTGAAGCGATTCTTGGCTTGGAACGTGTTAGGCTAGGCGCGGAAATAGCTGGGGGCGTGCGTGTCTGTCTTCAAGTCATTGTCTGTTCATAAACTGTTTGGTACACTTGCAATATTTTCTGGTGATTATTAATGACGACGTAGTCCCCCTGAACCCTTTTGGAACTTATAATGTGTGACCATTAATCCGGTATAGTTGTGTAATCTTTACAGAACAGCAAAACAGGAGTGTCTACATTAACAACAGCAATATATCAACGGCTATAACGACAACAAAATTTACTCAAGCAATAGACCTTTTCCTCTGCGTACAGAGCGTTACCTCAACACGAGGGGGTTGGGAGAATTCGAGAAAGTTATGGAAACCTGAGGCGCGATAGAGTCCTTTATTGGTTTTGTAAAAGAGCTCCAGGAAACAGTGAAAGCGTGACGGCACAACCATGTTTACATCCTCTCATCCAAACACACCTAACGACTAATGAGGGCGCGCGTTCTATCTTTAGTATTTATGAAATCTTTTAGTACGCTATGTAACTTGCACGTGAAGGTTCTGATCGCAGTGTCGTCTATTTCATATCTTTGCAGCGCAATGAAGACGAAGAGTACGAAACAGTAAGTAAAAAAAGCAATCATACTATTTTTCCTTTTTCCTACTCTTTACTGAACGATAAGTTTTGGATTTTTGGATAATAGTCATTTAAAAAAATAGAAATGAAAATTTTTCCAAGAGTTTTATGTACAGCTGCACGTAGTTAACATGCTAATCTACGATAGTATCCGTTTGATCCCTACTCAGGGTCATTTTGTAGCGTTTTTGGTCTTGAGACATGGTTATCAGACAGTACTTTACGTAACCAGGCTTGTTTATTGGGTACCGTCGATCTCTCCAAGAAACCAGACATACAACTAAGGGGAGGGGGAGGGTTGGAGCTGTTTATGTTTGCTGGCACCGGACTTCTGGCCCACAAAGAAGACGTACCGGCACTTCCAGACGTATCCCCTCACTCATTTAAAGCAAATAAGCTACAGCAGCTAAGCTATTCAGTCTTCAAAAATAATGTTCGTTTCTCTATTTTTGAAAATTTACACATAATTCCCTGTTTCCTAATTTTAGGTAAGCGTCGCTGCTACGGAGACAGAAGACAGTAAATACGATGAAGACATTGATGTAGATGAAGAAAGAGGCCAGTAAGTGCTAAAAAAACTAATGAAATAAATAACACATTCAAGAGCTGCGGTTGGCTGTACAGTATTATTCATGAAGGTGTTTAGTACATCGTTGTATACTAACAACTCTTTGTAAGATGACCCAATATTTGATACAAATAAAAATTTGTTTCCAGATTAGAGAAAATGCGAGCGGAAAGGGAAAATGAAATGTTTCCTGATGAAATGGACACACCAATGGATCAACCTGCACGCGTTCGATTTCAGAGGTAGTGTGTAATTAAAAAAGTGGTAGACGAGCTGTTCTTAATATATCTTTCCTAAATTCTGATGCGTTGTCGCAAAAAAAAAGTGTCCTGATCCTTGTCGGAAACTTGTAACTGAACAAATAGTTAAGAACACGTTTCAAAAGCAAACATCAGAGAACTTGAGCAAGAACTTACTCGAATGTTCAATTCTTGTCAATTAGCCAAGGGGTCCAAGAGTGGAATAATTTGACTTAACCGCAGAGATCCCCACATTGATGAAGTATATATTTGCCGAACAGACGTAACATGCTCTACAGCTGTACTTTGCCAGTGGTTATATAGTGTGCTGAATAATTGATTGGATCGTTCTTTCTCTTGCTTATTTACAGATACCGCGGTCTAAAAAGTTTCCGTACTTCGCCTTGGGATCCAAAGGAAAATCTTCCATCGGATTATGCAAGGTACGTTGCGAGCCTGCACCACCTGGCAATTTAGGTGCGATTTTCGGAGTGGGACTTCGTAGTATTTTTAAGAATGTCAGGTTTTGATTTCACTCGTTCGCCACTTTTCGGATGGGTATGAAGTGTACGTGCAGAACAGTTTGATCTTGGTCCTCTTTCTCTCCTTGAAGCTCTAGATGTTTTTCAGCGGTATAAAGGAGGCCCTGGCCTTGTCATTTAGTGCTGTGACGTCTGCGTCTGTGCTAAGTTTAGGTGATTTCAATGAACGTCAACACGTAGTTGATTGTGATTGTGATTGCACTTAACTCGTTATTTTGCAAAAATTATGTTCACAGAATTTTTCAGTTTGAGAACTTCAAACGAACAAAGAAACGAGTCATGGAAGAAGATGAGGTGGATGGCGCGCAGGTATACCTTGGTTACAGTTGAACCCACCATGCGGTAGCCCGTATAACTCATTAAAAAACCAAAGTTATAGTCGTTGCCCCTTAAGAATGCGATTCGTCCTGTATTATCATTACATTAAATCAACTAGAAAGGTGCTGAAAACACACAGTTGTATTAACTAGTGCACGTAATTTTGATAAAACTCCAAATTCTGCTCTTTATTTTGCCACTGAAATGTGTGATGTGACTATGTATGCTGTGTGTATTGTTCTAACGCGCCATCTTTTTATGTAACCAGCAATGATACGTTAAAATTTTTGATATCAAGGCTTTTCTGGCAAGTCTTCCCGCATATTTATGTACATATCTTTATTATTTTAGCCTGGATGGTACGTGACTGTTCACATTTCTAATGTCCCGCGGGCGTTTATGGGTAAGATTAATTTGAAGTCAGTTTGTTGTTGATTTTTCAGCGATCGTTTTGTAAATTAAAAAAATAAGAATTAATTTGTTTAGCGTTTAGCTTTTTACTACTTTGTTAAGTGAAGTTTTTCTTTATTTTGATTTTAACTGAAGCGTGGGGATCAGGGTCTGTTACCTGGGACTTTAAACCCAATGATTTCGATCACTGAGTTAAGTGTTCTTTACGCCAGTTGAAGATTTTTTCCCATTCATTTTGACGATACATCTCCACCCAGTTTCAGCGTAAGTGAAGTGCTTCAGAAAGTGACGATATATTTGTCTTTCAATTTCTTCTTGGGTTATTCTTCTACTTCCGGCTGCTTTAAAGAGGCCGTTCGCATTACCTTCCAAGAAGAGATTAGGGTATTTTTGAGACATAACAAACAAGATTGTTGACTTTGCTCGCTATATGCATCTCCTTTCTCCAGATTCACTTGACCCCTGTTCTCCTCTGGTGATATTTGGACTTCTTCCACACGAGCAAAAAGTAAGAATCGCCTTTTCTGAAAACTCAGACAAGCCAATGTTGCTTGAGTTTTTGTATCGGTTTGAATTCTCCTCAAATACTTCTTGTTAACTGATTTTTTGCATGTTTTCTCCTGTTAGATGTCCGTGGTCCATTTTGTGCTCAAGAGACATCCAACATTCAGCGAGCCAGTGAGATCCAAGGTTTGTTTTAGCATGTGGCTTTGTAGCTCAGTTAGTATTAACACCCAATTAGTATCTGGGAGGCCTGGGTTTGAATCCCGTCGAAGCCTGAACTTTTTCACGCTTCTTCTTTTTTTTAAGTGCTGAAATTGCAGCTCACCTGCAACTACCATTGCATTACGTGAACTGTCTTCAATAAGCCCCTGGAAAAAAATCCAGTGTAACCCAAATTTTTCAATTTGATTGCTTGCAATCTGTGTCAACTTTCACGTTAGTAAATATCTCCGTTCCTCTACTCTAATGTATTTCTCCTTTTTTGATGGTTTCCCTTCAAATGGAAATGATGACAAGTGTTTTTCCCTTCACTTAATCGTTACCATAGCTCCAATGGCACTATGCTCTCTTCCTGCACGGTGCTCACATAAACGTCCGCCTTCCACCTTCAGTCCACTTTGTACGCGTGCAATGCAGGCTGGTCTTTTCCTGGAGTTGTCTTTTTCTTTTGCTCTAGAACAATGATATAGACTCTTATGTGGTATATTTTTATGTAAACGACTTATCACCTCTAGGAAAGATTGATCTTTCATTGTGGCTTCCGAAGATTTACGGCGTGCCCCGTTTTTTCTCAGCATACATCGGGAGATAAGCACAAGGTATAACTACGCTGATTAACTTTTTGGTATGCTGTTGTTAATTTAAGTATATTTGGTGTCAAAGAGCTAATCAAACGATAAGAATGATACCTTCCCTGGCCATTTGACGCCCAAGAGTGACTCGCATCTACATGGAATTTCTCCTTACAAAATCAATCCCTAAGTCAAACATAAGGGTCACAAGAATAAATCAAATGATCACGAACTAAAAAAATCGCTGGATTGTCGAACAAATTCCCTCATCAGCGCCTTAGGAAATATATAGAGAACCGTATGGAGAATATAAATGCTGGTGTTAGGGTGAAAAGTGTCAAACTGATTTGATTTCGTGTGTGACGCTTCGTTGCGATTCGTGAACGGAGAACCTGCTTCTTGCAGGAGAAGCATTTGGGGTTCCTGCTCGTGTTGCCGAAAAATAGAAGGGAAAAGGAAAGAAATCGTGCCTTAATAATGGATTTGGAATAAACTGGCTTTCATTCATTCAGTCAGTCAGTCAGTTAGTCGGTTTGGAGGACAGACAGGCAGTCAAGTACTTGGTAATAGGTTATTAAGGTACTCGGTTCACGATGAGGGCTTCGATCAAAGCAATCACAATTCTTACTACCTTACTGCGGTGTCGTTACAGGAGTAAATTTTCTCTCGCGGCCGGGCTGACTGAGTCTCTCTAATATGTTTTCTTTTAGCTTGAACGTTTTATGCCTCAAGAAGGAGCATTTGTGGCGACTTTGTACGCACCAATTATGTTTCCTCCAGCACCAGTCCTCGTGTTTACACAGGATAATCACACAAGTAAGGCTCAAGTTCACAAAGTTATATATTAACTATTTAATTTATATTTCCAGTAGAAAATACAGTGTTCTACGCCATGAGTGAGTGGTGACGAAAGATCCTCTAGTAAAGATGGAGAAAATTTCATGTTTAATAGTTATCTTGATGCAAGCTATTATTTTCGCTATCGTTGCCTACACCGTGCGTGAGTCCTCTTGTTGGAAAGATTATACAGAAAAGTCATAGTCTTGATGTAGAAATTTTTTCATGTTCGTCTTCCTCACAACACAATTCAGTCTTCTCTATCCTTTGTCATCCTCGGGTTCCTATTTGGTTTGTTTATTTCTCTTCATCTGATAAACCTATTATTTGAAAGTTGTTAAGATAAATCTCCACGTTGGTTAAAAGATGTCAACCACTTTGTTCTTTGTTCGCGTGCGGATGTACCTCGTGTTATTTTTCTTAGTAGAGACCGATGTTTCTTTAGGTTGTCATACCTTGGTTGGTACAGGATCATTGTACAAAGTCGATCCGGACAGAATTGTTGCTAAAAAGATTGTGCTTAGTGGACATCCTTTTAAGATCAACAAACGATCAGTAGTCCTTCGTTATATGTTCTTTAATAGAGGTGAGTGCTGCTGTTATTGAACGCGAAGTCTGCTACTTTGCGACTTCCATGGAAATGAATTTTTTTGGCAATCTGAATGTAATCTTAGTTTTGCATGAGGACAAAGACCGTCTCAGTCTGAGTGTAGAGTTATTCTTAAGTTGCCTTTTTAATCAGTTATGTTCTTTTATTTTTTTTTTCTTTTACTCTTGCAAGGAAAATTGTGCGCTTTTTTTCTTCACAACGCCAAGATTTTATAACGCTACTGAAAAATTTGTCTTTCGCCCATTTTGTTTACGCCTGTTTCTCTTTTTTCGTAGCGGACCGAATTTAGAAATAGCGTGATGTTATTTGCCATTCTGTGTTTATTTCAGAGGATATTCATTGGTTCAAGCCCGTGGAACTTTTCACCAAATATGGGAGAAGAGGTCATATCCGGGAACCTTTAGGTGTGTCTTGGATATTGCAGTTTACAACAGTGGTGCACTACATTTATCTGTTTATGTTATTCTGTTCAATCAGATGCTATGTTGTTTTATTCCTATGTGCAATTTTTACTCTTCCTTTAATCTCAGTTGATAAGCGCTACCACACCCTTTCCTGGTTTTAAATCATTATTCCAGCAAATTAACATTTCCGTTTTTCTGCAGGGACACATGGTCACATGAAGTGCGTGTTCGACGGAATGATCAAAGCCCAAGACACTGTCTGTATGAACTTGTATAAACGGATTTTCCCAAAGTGGACATATGAGCCCGCAATATTACCACCGCCTGTGGAAACACCAAAGGACATTGAGGACGCAATGGAAACTTAAAATATTGAAAACTGACTAGTTTTTGATGATTGAAGTTTTCCTATCAAATGACTACTACAAGGAAATAACGTGCCAATATTCTCTGCCCTATTTTGATCATTAGACGCGATGTCCTATCAAAACTGAAGCGCGTTTCTGTAATTTCTTCCTTTTAATTTGTGCTTCAGTGCTCTACGAGATCGCCAATCAAGTTCAATACTTTTTAATGCTCTCCTTGGATTACAGCTTTTTACATGAGCCGCGTTGTTCACAGATAAATGAAGTGAATCATATTCGGACCTGTAGGTGATTACAAATGATAGAATTATCTTTACAGGTGAGCAGCAATTTAGGAGTTGCAGGGAAAGAAGCCTGAAAAAAAAATTAACTCTCTCACTCCCAAGATCTCATTAGTAATTCTCCTTACTGTCTGCCATATAGTTCTTGTGGTGTTATTTTGGAGAATTTGCTATTGGATCAACTAATAATCCCCTTATTGATATTTTTCTTTATTCCTATCACTTGTCTGCTTGACATTGTATTGATATTTTAAGGAGAAATTCTATCTTGGTCGCTCATGGGAGTTAAAGGCTTCAAGCGGTTTCTTCTTTGAACATTTGGTTACGCAAAACAAAAGAAGAAGACCAAAATGAAAGGAAAAAAGTTTTAAGCGTACAACCGTGATGGTACTTGCACATCTTATTATGTCATGTAGCAATCGCGAGCTTAATTGGTTCTTTGTATCCATAAATCTTCAAAGTTGTACAGAATACCTGATGGAGTTGATGTCGGAGCGGACTGAGATTTTAAACGTTGTTCGTATAAAATCAATTTGCCGGGTAGGGGTATTTTGAAATACCTCAATGTTTTACGAATTTCATAATTTGGTATTTTAACATTCAAGTTTTAATCCAGATCCTTTTAACCTGAATTAGATGTGCTGTTGTGAAATGGAGGTAAAATTGAAGGTGGTAATGATCGTAATAACCAATGTCTGAGGTTGATTAAAAACTATAAAAACTATAAACCCTCAACAACTAGTTTATGAGTCGAGCTCGAGTTGTGAGTAACAGGTTTCACATTTAGTAGGTAAGTGTTTGGAACAATAGTCCATACTCAAATATTGTGCTGGTATGGAAACCACTTTCTTTTGACCATTCCTCTCTTACACCAGGGATTACGTCTATAAACTTCGTTGAATTTCAATTCAATGCTACCTTTACGTGTGAATAGAGAGTGTGTGTAGGTAAGGGGGAGGGTTGGGGTATTTCTCTCTGACAACTTAAAATTGCTCCATAAATTTTCGTCGAAATGATCTGAAGACAGGAAGGAACTTTATATATGAGTGCTGTAGTTACCGACGTACAATATCATCATTGCAAATCAATATTTATTTTTCACACTACTTATTGAAGGTATTAATATCCATAACGTAAATTATATGTACAATTAAAAAAAAGCGTCCTCTAATTCAACGCCCCCTCCTTCCCTCCTGGAAAGGGTTTAAATCTCATAATTCAGTCTCCACTATGCCACACGGGGTATCACTTTGCTGTAGCCAGTGCAAAGGGTTATTGTGTTAGCAAGGTTCTCAGGAAGCTAGAGTATGTTGGTGAAGAATTTGAAGTGAATTAATTGGATTGACGGTTTTTAATGACAACTTCGCAAAGCTGAAGCTGGGGAAGTGCACATATGAATACCACGCACATATACAGTGGAATCCCGGTAACTCGAACCTTCAAGGGAAATTGAAACAGGTTGAGTTATCGCGGTTGAAATTAATGGAAAACGTTGTTCACTGGTTTTTTCTTCCTTATTTGTACAGTATATATCTTAATCAAATTTAATTATAGAGGAGTCGAGTGAAAATAGCACAGTCAATTACTTCAGAAATCACAACGTAGCGTAAAGTAAATTTTTAGGCCTATAGTACAGTGTTTGTTTTGATTGGTCACGTATTAACAGACGTGGTTCGAGTTATCGCTTAGGGTTAAAATATGTCGAAAATGATGCGAAGGGAAACGAAAATTGCTTCGAGTTAGCGGGAGGTTCGAGTTATCGAGGGTAAAATTGCAGTAAATGTATATCGGAAATCACGTAGATTTTAGTTAGAGTTAGCGCGAGGTTCGAGAGAGCGAGGGTTCGAGTCATCGGGATTCCACTGTACCTTTGTCTCTGTTTACTAGAAACAATCCCCTTGCTCTGCCCCTCCTCTTCCTTCCCCCTACTAATCCTTAGTCTTACAAACTGGTTTTGATATGGTACTTCTTACTGGAATAATGTACGCGTGTTTTCGTAAAGTACCAGCTTCTTCTGTCGAATTTTTTTTATGATTCAACAGTGGTCAATGGTTTAGCCTAAACTGGGCCAAAATCGACCACTTTCATCCCCAGGACTACCCTCACTCGAATGATCATACAACATGATCACATGATTCGGGTTCAAACAATCAACAATAAAAATGATAAGAGAAGTATTAGATAATTAGACTCAAAATTTTTCGGGTGGAGGACAAGGAATCTTCGTAAACCTTTTCAGTTTTAAAATCTACATCCTGTATTGACTTTTGGTCAATATCGTCACTGGAAAGTTTCCAAAATGTCGGATTGCTGACTTCCACCTTATACTTTTATATCAGCTGCACTTTCATCACAGAGCACGCAGAAAGGTGTCTATCAGATTATTTTGGCATGCGAGTCGGCTAGACTCAAACATTTTCCCTTGTTAAATGAAAGTTTGTACCGTTTTTTAAGGGGCATTAGTTCTTACATAATTTTGCCGACATCAGAACGGTTGTGTCAAAGTTTTGAATCAAAGCCGGCAAATCTTTCAAGGAAATTGGTTGAAAGCACTTGCGACGGAAGTAATACGGATATTTTTTCAGCTTTAGTGCACCGAACAGTTGTGCACTGAAAATTGTTGGATAATTGGTCAAAGATTTCCAATAATGTTTGTTTATTCAAGGAAATGCGGCGCGGCGTAAATGCAATGGAGGGAAATTTCACCTATTACGTTCTCCGCTTTTGTTTACCCAGATCCTGAGTGCAACTCCCTGATATTAATACACAGTTCTCAATTTAAGTTTAAATTGAACGTTGTTAATACTAAGTTTATTGCCTAATGTTTACACCTATCGCTGAGGATCAGCTCAAAGTTGTTAATGCCACACATACACAGGAACTCCTGCTCCAGTAAAAGTTAAGTGACATCATCTTGACCAGAATTGATCGGAGGCAGAAACGATCGAGGGCATTTTCGTACGTGATCTACAGCTCTAAAATAACATTTCTCTAAGCACACAAATTAATCGAGCCAAACAAACTTACATAACCAACTAACGCAGAACCTCACCCAACTAAGACATTTATGCAAAAATTCTCATGACAGGTCAGCTAAGATCGTTATTGCAAACTGCTGTAAATTAACGATTCACTATACTGAACCGTAAAATTGTTTTTGTCCGCTAAGGATGATTTCAGTCAATCTGTAATTATGCAGAGCAATTGCTACATGACTTATCATTAAAAATTTAAAGCATGTTTTGCTTTGCGCGTGATGTTCCTTCAAAATACGAAATTACGAACACTTGAATTTTAAAGAGAGTGATAAGCGATATTGGAGCTCAAACTTTTGTTCTTTTGTTGGAGTCTGCAATGAATAAGGAAGGAAAATGTTCGAAATTTTCATAAAGTAGGCTGCTTACAATTCATTTCACTTTTTCTAAAGTTCTCTTTACGTCATGCCTTTAGATCATAAATGGTGGCTTAAGATAAACACGTAAATAGTGGTGAATTAAACAAAAACTCTTTTTTACAGTATATTAAGCTCATGAATTGCGCGGTTTTTGTCCAATATGTAAAAATTTGCGCCTGAAGTCGGCCGATATAAGCCTCGCCACAGGGGGTACTTTAAAGCTATTTTGAGCTGAGGTGCTTGCCATAAAGAACTGTTATTCATCCAGAGAAAATACTATAGAAATTACGGCGCCATAGAGAGTTAAAAGGAGGCCAGAGGAAAGAAATTAAGATGGCGCGTGGCACAGTTTTGAAACCGTGGTATCAGTCGAAAACATTAACGATTTTGGTAGTGCTTTGGGCGCTTTTCACCGCTTGTCTTGGAATTATGATTGTAGTAATCTTTGTACAGCCTCACTGGATCAGCGGAAAAATCAGTCCCAATGATAAGAGCGTGAATTTTGGCTTGTACCGTAACTGCAGCGACAACCTCAATGAATGCACCGGCAGCTTAAACGATTTCGCAAAAATTTACTCAACAGCTTGGCAAGCGTGCACGGTTTTTGTCGCGTTGGCTTTTACCTCCACGTTTATCTCAGTGGCAATGATGTTGTTGTACTGGTTATGTTGCTTCGAGTCTTCGCGCATCGGTTTTCGCACAAGCAGTGGATTACAAGCCTCAGCGGGTATGTTTTGTTTTATCCATTGCTTATTTCAAGGGTCATGGCTTTTTGACGTCTAGAGCACAGAGTTACGGGTATTTTTCGTCAGTCTTAAAGGTCTTAATATTTGGTGTTCCACACAGATTTCCCTCACTGTGAAAGAGACTCTTTAATGACACCTCTCACCCAACCATTATTCTCAATAATTTCTTTAACGTTGCAACTTTCGGTATCAAAACAGATTTCTTTAATAATTAAATGTAGAGAATGTGATTTACGCAGGGCAGCCCGACAAACAGCGAAAAACTCTTGTTGATTGGGATCCTCTGAGCTTTAGTAACCCTCAATCGAACTTAAATCTGTCGCATTCCTGTTCAGTTTTATTATTCATGTCACATTGTCCTCACCCTCTTGGAAGTATATAAGTCTTCCTGTCATCTTGAAAAGACATCTTAAGTCTATTATTTTTTTTAATGAAAATGACGAACAGTCCCAGTAGAAATAACTTGTATTTTGTCATCTATACGAAGATCTGCACGGTCTGGAATTGATAAAATTCATCAGACACAAGCAGGTTGTTTCAACCTTTTCCATTCCTTCCATTATTTGTACTAAATCTCTTCCCCTCTTTAAGTATTTGAGGTCGAAATGTATTAATTAAGGGGCCTCATATATATTCAAATCAGCTGACTCTATCGCAAAGAATTCTGTAAAGAAATAGAATCAAGCCGTATCGGCAAAATTGTTCGATTTGCAAGCTGGAAAAAAGCAAGTTAGAGAAGATAAACTATATCAAATATATTTATTTTTTTAAAAGTGTTTTCTAACTCTGAAATTATGTAGGGAAGGAGTAAGAAAATTATTCAATTTGAAAATTAATGACCAATTTAGCGCTTATCTAGATGATCAAAGCGAAAGGGAGCAATATAGATCAGATACTTCTTTCCTTTGGCAATTTATTTCTTGTAATATTCTCTCTCTTTTTGAGGTATAGATATACACGCTTGGAATATGGAAAGGAAGTGTTGGTAAATAGCAAAATATAAAGGCATCGGTTAAGACCCTGAGCGTTTTCAAATCCCTCAAGTGATTAAGTTGTGGTTATATTGGTCACGTTCTCACGAGTGGTGTATACTGGAGTATTGGACCTTTTAGCTGATCGTTCACGAATTATTATTTCATTTTACAAGTTATCTAAGATTATCTTTTGATCATTACGATACTAGGAGATTCATTTGAAAGTTGAAATATTCACCTCTTACTTTGGATCAGATAAAGCTGCTGTTTTTGCCAAATTTTATGCGAAAAGTAAGATCTGATATTTGCTCTGTTTAAGTTACCTGCACACAGAAACTCGAAACTGTCTACTGACGAAATATCGTAACCGGTGTCTGTTCACGTAAAGTCTAGAAGCCGTGGGAACATTTTTATACGAGTCATGGCTGAAAGATTTTCCTTTTGATGCTAATAATCTGTTAATTACCATTACTTAAGTGTACCTCTGATAGAAAGTGTGCTGACATCCAAGATTTTTTTATTTCTTTTTGGAGGCACCCTCTTAAGGACCCATCCATCTGAATATTCTCAGTTCACGCGCAAGGAAATTTGATTTAAGTAAAACAGCCGTGGTTAAATATGAGTGGCCATTTTTTAACGCATAGATTGTTATGACTTTAGGGCACCTGTAAACCAGGTGTATGCGATCTACGTCACTTGCTCTTTTCATAACAAATATCTTAAATGGCCACTCACGCTTGGGAACTGTAAAACGAATTCTTTCTCACATAACGAGGAAATGCTGATAGAGCTATTTACCCAACACTTTGAGGCCACTACTCATTTAAGTAATAAAAAATCCTGAAACCATTGAACATCATATTTTAGTCATCCTTCAGAAAATGCATCGCCGAATATGAATTGCTCAAACGTAATGTTACGAACGAAAACAAACATTGCGATCAAATGAACACGCATCAGGAACAGGAGGTCATATTGCTTAACATCGCTCGGTAAAGTGCAGTTTTAAAGACAAGTAAGGCACTGGAACAAATGAAAATGTCAATGAATAAATTAACAAATCCACGTGTGAACCTCACAATGCTGTACATACTTCTTCCCCTGTCATAATATCAAAAGCCATTGTGCAGAAGATCGACTCCAAGGCAAAAAATTTATACATGAATGCATGATTGCAAACCACATAGGGCTCTCTCTTTCTGGGCTTCGAGAATAGGTTAGTATTTTCAGGCTGACCTCCTTATAGGGGGGTTATTTAGAGAGGGGTGCGTAACAGAGAGAGGTGAGCTTACTACAGCGCTTAGAGGACTATATTTCATTTCTTTAATTATTTTTTTGTTTTTTTCAAGGCTTCTGTATGTTACTCACTTGTCTAATACATCCCGTTGGATGGGATAGTGCCGAAGTTCGGGCGGTCTGCGGCCCTGACGCTGGTGTGTACAAAATTGGGGACTGCAAAGTAAACTGGGCCTACTGGATAGCTGTTATCTGTATGGCGGATGCATTTGTGCTTAGCTACCTTTCCCTCATGTTCATCGAGCGGGAGATTAGAACCCCGAACGTGACAGATAGGAAACGATCAAATGGAACAAGTGCAGATGACTACTCCCACGACAGGAGAATGGCATCTCATGGGTATTATAATCAGGACACGACAACGCTGTAACATGGGAAAATGCGATAAGCACAGCCTAAATAACGAAAAAAATTGGTGTCGTAGTTTTTTTTTGGTCAATTAGTGTGAGTAGTGTTTGACGCAGAGCAAAAAGTTTTGTTGAAGAGCAGACTGAGATGTAAAGTGAATAATGAGTTAGAAAATTTAAATTTTTAAACTGATAACTCATTCTTATCTTTAGTTTACGCTAATATTCAAGTAATATATACCTAGGTTTGTTACATTATTACGTCATGGACTCGCTTGAGTTGCATCATTGGCGAGCTCTGGAGATGAAAAATACGGCAACCTACATATTACGGCAACGTGCTTGCTCACTGTCTTTTCAAAAGCATATGATACGCACCAACTTTGCTGTAACATTTGCGTTATAGTTGCAATTTTGAGTTAAAGTTAACAGGTCAAACTTAGTCAATTTACAAATATTAAGCAAACGTATAATTTTATGAGGTTTATTAATCCTTTTATTTTTTGTGTAAAGGCTATAAGATGTGGCCAGATCGTGTCGATAAAGCTCACATTATTGAGTCGCATCAAGTAAATAAAGAACCATTTCTTTTCTTGGGCTCATTTATTCATAGTCAACATTTCAAGTTGTTTTCTATCTTTCAGCATCCTAATCTTTGGAATAATTTATACTAACTCAATTACATCGATCTAATGTTTTTGGGTAAAACTTTCATTTGTGTTTCACGAAGTTATCTCACTCCCAGACGTCGGTTGATAATATAGTGTCAAGGAATTTGTTTGTTTGCTTTTTTGTTTTTGTTTTTGTTTTTGTTTTTTTACGGTTTATAGAACTACCGATATCTATATGCCACCTACCTCCCTCTTCTCCTATAAATTCTGATAACTGTTTTGCTTAAACAAAAGTTATCATTTGAGTAAGTCTTACTACGCTGATAGTCAGTGGCTGCCAATTGAAAAAAAGGGACAGATATCGTGTAACACTTGGACAGATGACATATTCCTAAACACGCTATGGCAAATCCCATTATCTAGATATAATACACTCGTTGCAAGAACCAAGAAGCATTATTTTTCAAACATATTTCGGCCGCTGCGGAATAAGAAAAGGTATTTCGTCAGTTGTTTACTGTCAAAATACGTGTTACAGTCTTAACTCACCAGAATTTGCATTGGTTCCATTTGAACCGAAACTTTGCTTAAATATATCGAGATCCGTTCACACGACAGTAAGCAATTCTGTATACTCTAGCTGGTCACTTTCGTCCTCCCTGGCCTTCTTTGAAGAACCTTTACGAAATGAACAACTATCCTTGGGCTCAACCATGCCCACTTCTTCCGAAAGGGGACAATATCCCGACGCTTCAGCGTTTTTGGAGGCGTTACTCCAGGTATCCTCTTTGGGTAATCCTGGTACATCATTTGGAGGGTCTGTTTGCTCGGCTTCTGTTTCCGTGGGAATAGGAAGCTCCTGGTACTTATGGACCTTACGTGCGTTCTTGTCTGGCTTTCGGAATCGTTTGCGGCAAAGGAGAATGATAGCCATGAGAATGAGCAGAAGCACGCCGAGAAGGACACCAATGGCGATATGGCGCTTGGAGGTCGAGGCTGCCAAGGATGAAGGGACTATTTTTTTATTTGGTAAAGAAATTACTGCGAGGCTCTTATTGCTTTCCCGTGTTATAGCAACTCAAAGCTACATTCTGGTTTGAAAATAAACTGCAATGAATGAGAAATGAGATAGCAGGAACGATGGAGATGATATAGCACTGGTTAAAACACTGCCTTTGCTAATACCTGTGAGCATAAAGGGTCTGAACTAATTTGATCAACGGGATTAACGGTTCCTTTAGGCTCTTGTTTTGGAATTTGAGCCAAGTTTTTCCCACTGTTTCCCTTATTTTTGTTTTTCTTGTTGCCATTGTTGTTTTCATTGTTGATACTGACCGTAACGTAAATTACAAAGAGGGTTAGTTTATAAATTTCCACCACTGATCATTAAGTACAAAATTGTTGAAAAGAAACTTACCCCCCCCCACCCTGCATTCAGTTCAGTGATACGATCACTCTTCACTCTTTCTCAAAATCGCTTTTTGTTTATTTCTTTGTTTCTTAATCGGTAACCTTACCGCTGACAGGAAGTACTTTGACAACGAATCCCGTCTGTTCCACCTCCTTATCTGTGAGAAATCTCAACCAAAGGACTGTGCCGCTAGAAATAACCATTGAAGGTTTGGTCGAGCCACAACGCCTTTTAACGACTTTGCTGTCTCTAAACTCTAACCCACCGTCACTACAGAAGGTAAGATAAAGTATTGTTACGTCTGGTGGATAACTAAATCTGCATTCTTATGAGCGTCCATAAATTATTAAATTTACTTTTCGAATACGACTAAAAAAAACATGATCAGTGAAAAATACACCAACGGCATGTTAGAATTGTATGCCTATGATAACAGCACAGCATCGAATACTTCTCTGATAATCATCACCGAATATTAATGGCCGTAAACTTACGATTAATTCACTAAATCGCCTATAACTGGAAGGTTCAAATTTGTCATTCTGTGCCGTAATACGAAAACATTGAAACGTCGGTTAAGGTATTTGACCTGGTTGCAGTGAAGCTGAAGTGTTAAACACCGCATGGAAAATGCTTTCTGTTGAAAGGATAAAGCAAACAGACTTAACCCACTCCCATAACTGCCTTAATCTATTTCCAAGGTAGATATGTCTATCTGACATTTGGGACACCCCCGAATATCCCATGAAGACCTTGAAAAGAAACATCTTTTAGTCTGACACTACTGTGACCTTAATAAGACGTTGGAATTTTGGAATACAGCCGGCAAAATAGGAACTGATATCCTCACGGTGATTGTCTGTCATCAAACACTCACCTCACACTGACATAGTCATGACAACCTGTCTCTATGTAAGTTCCTTCTAGGTCAAATTCAAGAAACGAAAGCCTAACTTTGTGACCGAATGGGGCGATTATTCTCCATGTACACTGTATGTTCCTTGGATAGGACTTGGGGAAGTCTGGACTGCTGATTTTCACACTTGTTCTCGCATTTTTTATCGGAACTTCCCTATAAACATCATCTGTGTAATTTCCGCGGGTTGTGCACGCTAAAAAACAGAGCAGAGAGATGTAGAAAGGTTTATTTATATGATATCTCAAGTGTTATTATAGTACTCCCCTTTTTTAAACTTCTTCAATAGAACGATTTTTTTTCCCGGACCTGGGGCCAGGGAGGCTTCATATAAATAATTTTAACAGATTCATAAACTCAGAAACATCGCCTTTATTTCTTGGTCTTGGTCAGGTAATTAGTGAGGATGATGACATTACTACTTGAACTTTAAAAAGGAACGTTCCGCGCATTCGTAAGGACATGACTATTTTAATTAGACATAACGGAAACTTGCACTGTGCTATGAAAGGATAAAGAGCAATCTTCCTAGGTGAAAGAGCAAAATTAGTCTTACGTGTAAAATAAGAGCAACTGTCCCCTATTGAATTGGTTTGATGATTTGTTTCTGTATAGCATTTTTTTCATTTTTTCCATAAATGGCCAGAAAAACCGGACTATACCTGTAAACTGGGCTTGAGTTAATGTTACTCTTGTTAGACCTTCAAAGAGATTCAGAAAAAAAAGATAACATAAAAACTATCCTGAATAAATTAGCAGTTCAGGCTGTGTTATTATCATACAGTGGACCTTAAACAATAACGTTTGATAGAATTGAAAGACCAAAAGTTTGCCTCTTACAACGGCGCTCGCTAGGAGGCAACAAAAATAATTGATAACGTTTTATGAAGAGTCCTTGTTCAGTATCAAAAGTTGTGTTACCAGACGGTCAGTAAGTTTTCCATGATAAAAAAAAATGCATAAGAACTTGATGTAACATTTCTGTTTTGTAAAATAAATGGTACAAACAATAAGGATAAAATATCTTTGATTTCTATCCCATTATTTTTATCTGACGTAGCTAAGTGCGCAGTCTCAGATATTCACGTGATTTAGTTTGAAAATTAACCATTTATAATGATAAAGTAACAAAAATGATGAAAAGATCATAATGATAAAGGTATTTATAATGGTAATGATGATAATAATAATAATGATACTTGTGATGATAATGAGGATGATAATAATAACAAAGAAGAAAAATGACGAAAACTACTTAAAACTGAACTGGCGGCTTGACGGCAAAAAAGATCGGAGAGAAAACAACCATTTGACTTAATTTCTTTTTCTGTAATGTCACAGAACACTTCAACCGAAGCTAAGTATGTCCATTTAAATCTTGGAGTTCCGACTAACAATCTGTATGAATCATGCGCCAATCCTACGGCTAAAAGAGGTCTCAAACCAAAATTTACGTCGGTTTATATCCCAGAAAGTCCTCCGACGAAACGTAAAACACTAGCGACAGAAAATGATCTTGATCATTCAGCACACTGTCTACTGTTTTCAGTCACACAGAACGATTTCTTCTGATCGGTGCCATAATTAGTATGCAAGATTGGCTTGGAAATCGTCTCGCAAATTTAGATATATCAAATTTATCTTAAGTTAAAATAGATCAAGAAAAAACTAAGATTTATCTCTTTCTCTGCCGTTAAAGTTTTATCTAGGGTGTTTACTGGCAAATGTATACAAAGTAAGCTTTTGAGGGGTAAATAAATCTGGCTCAAATGTCGAAAAGGCATCAAGTTTCGGAAGTAAAAAAGACTAATACGATGTTATAGATTTTGCATATATATCAGAAAACTAATAAAAGATTCTGACACCTGAGAAAATTAACTCAATTTTCAACTTTGTTTTCAAAATCTCAAGTGCAATGTAACAGATCGCAAATTTCTGGAATAAAAAAATCTGAGGTCGTAGAAAACATTGCAAATGAAAGGACAATGCGAAAAGCATCAAAACTTGAATTGACAATGACGAATTTCAAAAATTAAAAACCCCCGATCTAGCTTTATTTCTGAAAACCAGAATAACGAGTTCGAAGCTTTCCACGCGAATATGAATCAAGTTAACCAATTGCATAACCAAATCTGTCATTTTTCTGCGTTTTTCTTTCATTTTACCCTTATCAAATTTTTGTATATCAATTCTTTCGCACTTACCGTAGGCAAGTAAAATTGAGACTCCAATTCTTAAATCCACTCTTGAAGGCCGGTGCGCCTTTCTTTCCATAGTTTCCTTTCTTTGCATAGTGAACTTGTTAGGATAATTACCGCCGTATTCTAACCAGACCTTGTTTCACACCTCTCAGAAAAGATGATCACCTACATTTCTTTCAGCTCGCTCCTTTAATTTACTTCAGGAATAATTTCACTTTGTCTCCTATCGTCTCACACAGCGGTAAACGTCGTAACAATAGTCCAACAAAATCAATACGCTTCTTTGGTTTACTTCAACAATTTCAAATCTCGCTCGGAGTGCGTGCGCTTCTTCTTTCATGATCCATTATTTTTGTAAATTCACAACAAAGCCATTCGAAATGCAACAAAAGAATTGATTGATCGATAAGTGACGCATGTCAAGAAATTAAGCGAACCGGAGCAAATAAAAAATACTTGGCGAAGTTTAATGAGTTTTATCGCAATATTCATTGCAAGAGCTTTCCTTATGCAAAACCACGGCCTTTCAGGAGAAAATAAAAAAACCGCGCGGCGGTTCATCTTCGACGAAGATATATGTGTTGTAGTTCACCTCCAAATACTATGATAAATATCTGAGGATCATTTGCGTTCGTGTACTTTCTGATATTACTTCTCCTCAGTTATGATAATTACGTAAGAAGCGAGACGTCACCGCCGTAAGGGTGCGCGAATTTACTCCTTTGTCTCTTTTCTATTTTTAAAAGTAAATCTCTTCATTGTCCGAATGAAACGAAATCAAATTAAAATTCACAGTTTCTTTTCAGCAGAGTCAAGGTGCTAAAAACAATTTGTATAAGCAAACAATATATTCGATATTATTTTATGTAAAATCATGAAAATTTCACCCCTGCTCAAACCTTCAAGTATATTTGTAACAAAGTAAGAAAACAGATTTGCCAGAAATGATTCTCTTGGATAAATCAAAATGCCTGAGCAACAGTTATGATAATTACTAGCCTGCTATGTTTACTAGTTATAATGAAGATGGATATTTTAAGAATCCTAATGTGCTTGAATTTTCACCATCGTTAGTTTTTCGTTCGAGTAAACTTTTCCCTGAAACTGTTATTTAGTCAGTTCCACTTTTGATATAATTTTTTTTTTAATGTTGATTCGAAACAGATCTTAGAAGATTCTGAGTTAAATTGTCACAATAGTTCTTTTTCTTTCGGAAAAACGGATGAATGTTGTTCAAAATATTGGAAGATATGAAAATTAACTAAGACCAGCTGTTTAAGACTTGAAATTCAATGTTTGTAAACCTTGGCGCCAGTAGGTATTTCACGTCGCTCGCTATCTTCTGATCAGAGAAAGGTAATCCTTTCCGTTTATTAGAAGAGCTTATGAGATTTAAAATTTTTAACTGACTTTAGAATTCCTTTGACTTCAAAGCTATCATCAAATACTTAAGACCTAACATAAAGGCATATACCTGATAGTAATCTTTTCTGATTTTCCGAGAAGATATTATATTTATCTCATAGTCCCAGTTGTTTCACCCGTTATTCCTAATGGCCCCTGGCCCCCATCCTATTCGGTTACAGGTGCATAAATTAGGTAACTTGCCTTCGCTTCTACGTTTTTAGCTTGATGTTGGCCCACTTTTCGTAAATCACTTTTCGTAAACAACATACGGAGGGAAACTGTTTTGATTACAATTTCTTTGTTACTGACTCGAAAATTCCCGTCACGATGTTCCGAAATTTCAAATACTCAATAGTCTTTTCAAAGGCAACTTAACAAGTACCCCTTGCAAGTGAATATGATAAAGGAACTAAAAAGTCTCAGTTTGAAAAGGTATGAACAACAACTTAATAGATCATCTTCACACTTTGCACTTTGTTGTATACATAGGTAATGTTTCCAGATTTTCTCAGCTAATAAAATGTAACGCATCATAAGAAGGAAAAATGAGTTTGTCTTTAATGAAGAGGAAGGTACTCGTTTTCAAAAGACAAATCACGCTATTGTCGAGTGTTTTGAACAAAAACTGAAAACATGGTTCCATCTTCGCCTTAATGCAGGTAGATTTTCCCACGATCCTCTATTTTTCTCGAATGCCTCCCCAGTCTCCTCGCCTTAAAACGAGGCTGAACGGTATACTTTGTATCTAGTTTCGATCCAGCTGGAAAAAAGGGGCGAACTTGATCAGCTGGATGACGATGGCGAATTCGGAAGGAGAAGTATTTGGAAAATGATTGCGCAGATTCTGCCCATTTGTGGCTTAAAAAAATACATTACTTCATAAACGCTTACAGTTTTTTTCAGGCTGGTGACCCAAAATAATCTATGGTGTAGGACTCAATATAATATAAATGACGAAATTTTCCCGCTTGAAATGGAAGTTTAACTCAATTTTCTTTATGAAAAAGCTTTCGCGATCAGATTTTGATTAGATAAATTAGTGTAAGATGGTGAAAATTATGCCATTACTATTAAATATAGTTTACTTCATGAGGAGGGCACGCGTACCGCATTTTCGCACGAGTTGGTGATGTGTCAGAAATCGAACGAATAAGCGCAGCGAATCAGTGACATTTCTGATACAAACCAACAAATGCGAAAATGTCATGCAAGTGCCCTCCAAATGATGTAATTTGTTTATTTCATACATCTTAAGATTCCCCTTTTTTGTTGTTGTTTTATTTTATTTTTATTTTCATATGAGCTTATAAGTCATTCAAATAAAAGTGAACACGCTGCTTTCACCTACTAAATGTAGCTCTGATTGCGTAAAAATGAGCTCAAGTAGCTCTACAAAATTTCAAACAAGCTTTATTCCATCACTTTAATAATATTTTTAAAAAAGTCAGTTAGTGGTAAAGTTTTTCATTGAAGTGTTGGGCTGTCGTCATCATCCGACGATTCAAGAATTCGTTCTATTCGTTTGTAGCTTCGTTACGTAGAAATTAAACCATCTGCACAAGTGCCGGGTGACTTGTTCACAGTGATCATAGTTATGTTGACTTGTCCATCGTAGAATACGGCTCCACTGAAGGGACCAGCTACAGGAAACATCGAGGTTTTTATGAACGAAGCTTCCGCTTCGGCCGTTAAAGTGGTGGTTGCAGCAGTGCGTGAAGCATTGTTGTTTGTGTCTCTCGCGGCATTGCATGTTGAGGGCTTTGAGCTCAGTATCAATGACATATTCTTCTGTTGCTCTTTAGAAACAGAGCTGTAGTTGTTTATACTTTGCAAAGTACGTTAAACTCAAAGCTGCATGATGTGAGCGGGGGGAATATTGCGGCTATCGTTAAGTTTTTTTATCATCGTTTTTCTTGCACTGTGGTTCGTGAGCCGTCGCTTCTCGTCGAGTCCAGCTTTGTTTGCCATGGTTTTCATTAACGAGTTCAGACCCCCATTGCACCTGCCTTAAAAGCCAACATTTACCAGAATCCTTTGAACAATTGACACTAAGATATAAAGGGGCCTCGGTGGTCAGTACTGAGTTTGGTCTTTTCTCGCGATAAATTTTGTAAACAAACACGGAGTTTCTTTCATCTGGCCCCTCTTGAGTAGCGAAAGCTTTAGGCTTGACTGATCTGATATTTCGAATTTCCGCTCCTGTTCTCATTTGGTCTGTCGTTCAGAGTATTCTAAATATTCAGGTCGGTCCACATCTCTAATATGTTGAACATCTCCCCAAGTCATTTGTCGGTGCTCGTTACAGCTTCTCAACCCGAAATAAATGGAGTTCATAAACTACAACGTGTTCAACAAAGCCTTAGCACTCGTAATTCCAAGCAGGTTTTTCATGTATAGAATGTTCACCTCCTCGTCTGTTATAGCCTCTACTGCGTTTGGCTTGTTGCCCTTCCCTTCCTATTACAGTTGTCTGCTTCGAGACTCCGAAGCTATTCGAGTTTGTTCAAACTCAAGGTCCTCCATTTTGCTCTTTGGATATTTACAAACTTTCAAGTGACGGTTGAAGCTGGAAAGAAATCCTCTCAGGCTTGAAGGCTCGAATTCGCCTCCGTCTTTACTCTTGACAGTTATTATAAATTCACTCAATAAATCACCCAGCTGCTCTGGCATAATATCTTCCACTTTTCTCTCCGCACTCTTTTTTTTCAAAAACGCCATGAAAATGGAAATGTCTCTCTGCGTTTTGGTAGCGTGTTCTTGTTTTCCTGCTCCTGAATAAGCTCATTTACGGGCTTTTCTGACGCAGGAAATCGTAGACTTGAGGTTTCGGCCATCTCAAATAGCTAAATTTAAGGAATAAATTTGACTACAGAACTCCAAACCCCTTTCAAAATGTTTACAAAACCAACAACGAAGTTAAGTTTCAAGTAAACTGACGGGGCAGGAAGAGGAGAAGGCGCGAAAACGAAGTACTTCTGACAGGTTCTTCGTGATTGGACGAAACGTTTTCTCCACGCGTGAAATTGTCTTTTCTCTGATCTGATTGGCTGTAATCAGCCGTGAACTGGGTTTTGAGACGACAGATTTCGTAGTGAAAATCTCAGTATGTATGAAATATTATATTTTTCTTCGATCTTGTCACCAGTTAGTGTTTTAATCTGAGTCTTTGCTCAACAAATAGAGAAGCCTCGACTGTGCTCTGTTCTGTTGAAAAGCACGCAGAAAGCAGCTAGAACACGAAAGAAGTGTAGGGAGGAGCAAAAGACGTGGTCGAGTGTTTCTCCCCACTTCTTGAGTTCAATTCCCCACTCGTTACTTTTAATTTTCAAAACATTTCTCATGATTACCAAAGCGCACAACAGTGTCGTCAGCGTGCTGTATACTCTCCGCCAAAAAGCACGCCACAATAAGTCACTCAGAATCTATTTTAGAATGGTTAAATAATCTGATTGGTTGAACAAGACTAAAGCTGTCAAAAATGTCAAACCATCAAAGTTCACAATCCGCCGCTGTGACTGATGTGACCTTCCACTCAACGCATAGGAAAGAATATCAGAGCAAGCTCTCAGTTGTTCACTCAAAGGGTGGACGATGTTATTTCTAAGGCCTGCTTCACCGTGGTGACCGGAGATCGCCATGATGAGCTGCCCACGATGGACCTCAGCATGATCACAGTCGCTCTGACATCGTCATGATTTTTATGAATTTAAACAGTTATGCCAGTTTCGTAATGGTTTTCATCATTCCTTTTTTTTGTTTTTGAACACGAAACTATATATACTTTACGAGTGTTAGCTATGCTTGACCTTTATTACCGTACGTAAGCTAACAATCTAACTGAGTGTGAAGACCTTCAAGGCTTGGACCGTCCATTTCGTTTTCTCCTTGAGGATTTTCGTCTCTGCTCACGTTATAATAACGTCAATTACGACGCTTAGCATTTTTACAAAACTTTGCGGTTTGGTTCTTCTGTTGGTACTTGCGGGTTCGCTTGTTCCGAAATTTCACTTCCAGTTAACCAAAAAAAGGCTAGAGATAAGTCCGGGAAATGGTTGGACACAGCACAAATTGGCAGAAGGTGTGATAATCAGCTCCGTGTTCTGTATTCTGATAGAGCATGCTCTTTCAACCAATGACAGCGCGCATGATATACGAACCTTATCATAAATTAGCATAGTGGACCTCTCTATCTAGTGACTGCTGATAGAGATACATACGGTATGCTGGTCTTGATGGATAATTCAGCATTTATAAACTCTAAATATCGTATGCCAGTTTGGAATAGGAAAGAAAAGTCGTTGATGGATGAACACGTTTTAAACAAATGCACATATCCTACTTGCATCCAATTTAGCGAACAATAAGAGCAAAACTTAAAACCGTAATACACTGCAGCTGGTACCATTCACAGCGGCGAAGTGCATTGATGTTCATATTTAGAGATTGTATCTATAAGGATAAATCCACTCAAGAGGACGTTAAATGGCACTTCGTGGCAAGGAAGAGGCAGGAGAACTTTATTTACTCTCAGTAATGGCATTCCTGTACAATTCCATCTTGCTTAGTGACTACTTCTGCACGGATCATACGTTGATGAACACGTGGTTAATAGCAATGAAAGTGGACATATCCCAGATCAAAGGTATGTAAAGTTTAGAAAACCAATGAGTGTTATTTGGAATTAAAAACATTCATTACTTCCACTCGACTTGGTCTGGTCGCGAATTATGCGGCGTTGAAACCATCCTGAAACAATAGCATAGCGTAATGGTTGATAAAAAACGACATTTTGGCAAACACAGTGCACGCAGTAGTTGTAATCGTTTTCCCCGGAATTTTCAGAAAGGATACCGCGACATACGGAGACCACGAGAGGAGGAAAGCCTCAATGATGATCAAAAAGTACTTCATAGATTTATGATGTTTTTCCAGTAAGGCTATCTTATTCATTTGAAATGTTTTCACCAAAATTCGTCCGGAAATTTTATGGATCTTATCATAGCAAAACGTTATCAGTGTAATGGGCAAACCTTAGCAAGCAATGAATATAGCCGTAAAATACGTTATATCAATGGGATAAGTTGAGTCCCATATGATTGAGCAGGTTTCATTGGTTCCATCTTTTCCTTATCGAGACCATCCAAATAGAGGTGCAACGCTAAACACCAGAGAATAAGCCCATAATCCTATGATTATCCACAGAGTCTTCGTCTTGCTGAAGTACGACTCTTTAAAGGGAAAAAAAAAGAGGGCTGAAAAACGGTGTAGATCCTTCCAAACTCCCAGCATTATAACGCCGTTGAAGAAGATTCTCAGGGAGCATACGAACAGCTTGACCACAGAGAAGATTGTGCTCCAGTTACCAATCGCGTTCATGTTAAATCCTAATTCACTCTATGTTACTGAGCTTTCTTACGTAGGCGGCTTTAATGTGTACTGCTCCTGCTTTCTTTTTGGCGAAAAACGTAAACTTTCTCCTGCCATGTGACAGAGGCTTAATTCCGGCTCTTATTTTTGAGTGCCTGCTGAAAAAGGCCATTAGTCTCACGACTTTAATGTTCTTTTAAGGGAGGTACTTTAGACATAAAGTTTGTTTGCCTGCTAAGCTGCGATGCTGGGGAAAATGGAGCAATATAATACTGATATACTACAATTAGTCAAAACATCATGAAAATCTGCAATGTAAATGAATATCCCTCACAAGCCTACAACCAACTTAATAGAACACTTATCTCGTTATTCTTACATGATTCCAACAATATTTACGTCTGAAATGGTAGGGTTCTGACAGTGTGAACAGTATGGCGTGTTAGACACCATGTCTAACCATTCACCTAATGCTATGAGATAAAACTCTCTTAGTTTCGAATTTCTTTTCCTCCATCGTCTTCCTATGACAAAAATAAATAGATGAGGAAAAGAGAGAGGAAAAACTTGCTTTTCTCTTTTCAACGAGAATTCGCTATCCTTTTTCTTTATTTGTTTTTTATTTCCTCAGGAAAGGCTCTGAATGTGTACATTGAAATAAGTACAAGGGACGATTCTTGTTTTGATTTTTAGTCTCAAGGTCATTTTAATCTCTATAAACGGACGATGCCACAAAGTCCAAAAAAAGGGACGCATCTAGGATGTAGGCATTGTGATTCAGCTTAGGCTGGGGATTAAAAAAACAAGTCGCACGAAATTGTAAATTTAGAATAAGGTGATTTCATAAATACATACGTTTCCTTTCACTCCCTCGCTTTGTTCGGTTTCATTTTTTTTATGAATCTCCAGTTTACATAGAAGGTATTCATTGATCTGATTCATTTTGCATAAAGATTTATTTGTCTTAGAATAATTACCAAAATAATGCACCATTTAAAATCGAAAATTGAAGTGAAGAGCGTTACTCTGTTGGGAATTTCAGTGAATACTTAGTCAAAGATCCATTAATTTAAGTTTGTGCCGAGCAGCCCGAGTACCAAAGTTTCATGTTTTGCATTTTATTTTTTAATATTGCATAACTTCAACACGGATTCTGTTTTGATGCACATTTTCATGTAGACCAACGTGTTTCGATTGCCGTAATTAGCTATACAGCTTCCTCACGCATTTTAAAGCGGCCCGAAGCGGATAAAAATCCCCTGCATTTACACGCGGGAACGATCATCGACACGAAAGGGCTTTTGGGGTCGAATTGCATTTGACCTCTCAGGTACTTTTGCGATAGGTATTTTCAAAAATACTTTTTAGAGAGTAAGTAAAAACCTGATAACATATTACTTGTGGAGAGTGCATTCTCAGTCCGACAAATTGCATGATATTTTCACCGAGATAATATGCCAACTCACTTGCTACCAATCGTGTATTTAGTTTTGCTACAGAGCACGCTACGGGTATATCTCGAAGCCTTGAGTAACGGGAAGAAAGCTAAAAATGTTGTTATGGAAAGATAGAGTTAATGATTCGTGTATCTAAAAAACTTCAGTCCACATAGGGACTCGAAAATTCGAAACAATTAATCAAAGTTGTGGTCAGAAAACATGAACTAAATCTGGCAATATCTTAAGGGTCATAAAATACAAAAAAAAAATTCCCTTCTAAAGAAGACAAGCAATCAGTCCAAATAAATGAAAATCAATGTTTCTTCAAAAATCTACAACATTTCACTCAACACTGAAATATATATCAAAAAATCGATATGCTTCTCTAACTTGTGATCAGTAACTCTCGAAACCTAATGTGCTAACTGCATTTTAAAGTAAAAAAAAAGAGCTCACCTTAGTCTTTTATGGGTTACAAGTACATGAAGTTGAGGTTGACGATTTTGTAGAAAGGCTTTGTTATTGATGTGTTATCCTTAAATATGAAGACATATTTAAAAATTACGGAACTTTTTTTGATAACTATGAGTTTTTTTGATAGATTATCGGGGAAACACAAATATCAAAACTATAGAAATAAATGACAAAACCGTTTTAGGCCACATCTCAAAACTGAAAACATCCACTGCTCTGTTATGATTCATAAATCTATTCTCAATTCAACTCTCTCTTTTTATGCTGCGAGCAGACAAATTTAGCATCTTTTATACCCGAAAAAGATGAAAGGTTTAATGCCTTCTTGCTTGTGGATTTCTGAATTTGATGACATGAAAATGACCTTGCCTGTCAGCAGGTGTTCCAGCTTTTTTTCTTTTTCTTTTTCGACTCAAACACCTCTCATCTTTCTTTAACCAGTTGCTTACTAAGTTTACAGCATTGCATAGGGTCGGCTAAACTCAATCATGGAAAATTCTGCCCTCTTAATTCTTAACTTGTCAGAAAGGTACACCAAATAATACATTCCATACTCGTCCTTCAGGGAAATATTGCAACCATTATTGAACGCCATTAAAAGCCATTTAGTTTTAAATATTCGGCAACTAAAGGATGCGGCAGCATTTTTTCTCGGATATTTCAAAGGACATCCGTCATGTTCATTTGACGAGAAAACTTTGTCACACAGGTAGAAGAGTTTTTAAAGACTAAACAGGAAGGGGAGCCGTCGGAACAGTAACAAGGATGTTATTCAACTTGAATAAATATCCTTGTTTAATATCAAAGATAAAAATACTTTTTTAACATCAATGATAAATATCCTTGTTTGACATCATCTCTTTAAGAGAACGACATGATGTCAATAAAACGCTTTATATTCCACTTGCCCCAAGGGTTAACGGTCATAGTTTGCACACTCGTCATCAGAAATCCTGTAAGGCTTTACTAACTTATTGAGCTTCTGGTCTTCCCGGTTGGCGGGCGCTGGAACGTTCTCAAACACTCTTAGTATACGAAGTGGTATAAAAATGTGAGCCATTCAGTCTCCAAGATGGGTAGGTTTCAAAACTAGACTTAATACCCACAAAACAAAGGTTTATCTATCATAAAAATCCATCGAAAGCAAATACCGACAATAATTATTTCTATATAATGTTTCCTCGATCTGATAACCTCACAACTTTTGACGCGAATTTTTCAAGCGATAAACTGATGGCAAATTTTCTCATCACAAATAAGGACAATATACCATGATACTCATTAAAGGTTTTACAAATGCTCTGCTTTCAACGTCCACAGGCGTCAAGTCAAACTGTTATTACAATATTACAATTTGAACAATTTCTACAGAATAATATTTTCAGTTCTCAGTACACTTTCTCACCTACATTTCAATAGTGGCCTTCATTGCACTATTTTGTTTGACAATTATTATTGCTGAATAAAACACCAAACACTAGTAATAACACCTCCATTACAATACTTACGTTTAAAAAAAATACTGAGGACACCAAAAATTAATCTTACAATTCTCAGGATTGAGGAGGTAATAAGATATTTGAGAAAGGAATACGTTCATTGTATTAACCTAAGCAAAGCAATGATCGTGGAACATTTCTAACGTTGAAATAGAAAACGCTATCAGGAACTAGTTCTCTCGTGTTAATTTTCAACATTTCAGAAAGAGAATTTTAAAAATCGAACTATTACACCCAATACCGTGTAATAGTAGCAGAGTGCACGCAAAACTATAGGAAATGTTAGGCAAGTTTTATGCTTTCCTTGTATAAGAATGCTTAGTCAACAATAAAATATGAAGTCACGACAGCACTGGTTGGTCCAAGGTATTATGGTACCTTAAGAGATAATGTTTAGAGAATAAGTGCTTGTAAATTGAATGGTGATCATCTGGTGATACCAATCGAGCCGGTTTGTTTACAAATCAGGAGTCAATCGGGGTTTCGGTCAAGGAATATAGCACTTAGAGAGCTAGTGCTACAGACGTTAGGTGAAAAGCATCTGCAGGAACAACCACTCGATTTGGTCTGTTTATGGGAATCGCCTGAATCATTCGGCGTCGAAACTTCCGCGACACAATGGCATACAGCATTGGGTTGACTAGGAATGATGTCTTTGCGAAAACGCTACATGCACTGGTAGCAACAGCATCAACGCTTCCCCCCAAAATTGTCATGAAGGACACGATGGCATAAGGAGACCACGAGAAAAGGAAAACTGCTATGATAATTAAAAAGTACATGGCCGATTTACGATGTTTTTTCAACAGAGCTTCAGACATAGTCATGGCCACCCTATTTATTTGTAGAGAAGTTTCGACGACATGACTAGAAACTTTATGAATTTTGTAATAGCAAAATGCAATAAGTGTGATAGGTAAAACGTAGCAAGTAAAGAATATTATTCCAAAATACGCCTTGTCACTAGGAACTTTCGATTCCCAGATGATCGAGCATGATTCATTGGTTCCTTCCAACCCATATCTTGACCAACCTAATAACGGTGGCACGCTGAAGACTAAAGAATACATCCAAGAGCCAAAGACTATCCATAAGACCGTACTCTTGCTGAAGTATGAATCTCTGGAAAGAGATCTAGTGATGGTAAGGAACTTCCCCACCGAAATTACAGCCAAGTGGGTGATGGAAACGAGTGCCAGAAGGAAAATCATGAAGGCGTGAGCTTTACATCCAGCCATACCAAACGGCCATTGCTTCTGGAAGTAAAATGCAATCGAAAATGGAATGGCCACTGAGCAAGAAACGAGGTCACTCACCGCAATACTGAGAATGAGGTAGCTTGGTGGTGATGAACGACGGAGGTTCTTGCAAATTGTCAAAATTACTAAGCCATTTAAAATAATTCCAAAGAAGCAAATCACAAACTTGATAACTGCGAAAACTGTGCTCCAACTGCTATTGGCGTCCATTTCTCTGACGAAGGTTCTTTTTTTCTACAACAAAAGCAAAGAATTTTATAAGCGGCTCGGAAAAAAATATCTTTAAAGACGCTTTCCTTTTGGTGAGAATTTTTTACCAGTGACACGAGAAAATGGCTTTCCTTTACGATATGAAGGAGGCTTGCGTTTCGCAACGTTTTGAAAACGCCGCACGATAAGACCATTACTTAACTAACTTTGATTTGTATAATAAATGTGTTTCTTAGACCAGAGGAAGTTGTTTTCTAGCGCCGGATAAATATTGTCCAATGAGCTCGTTTAATAGCTTATAACGAACTAAAGACGGAAGCGACAAATTTAGTGTGTTAAACACATCACCTATGGTGATAAATCTATGTGGGGTACAACCAGCTAATTTGCTGATGGATTCTGAAGTGAATCTTTATTTTCAAAAAAAGGCTGTTAAACACTGTTTTTTTTTTGGAAGTACAAAATAGAACAAAATTTGGCCGCTGTTTATTCCAACCATACCATCTTAAAAATAATTTTCCCATACAAATGTCTGCTGTTTGGGAAAAATCATTGTAGAGCAATTTTCTTGAATATTTCAGACCTTTAATCCCGCTGTCGAGTGTCATCAGATAATACTGGTCTCGCCTTGGTTTTCCCAACCATTAACTAAATGTTAATTTTTTTTTTCCATTAAACAACCCTCTTTCCTTTAGTCGCATACTTCTTTCAACTATACGGGGCATTTAATTAGTTTTCTACCGAAGACTTCACATACCCGTCGAGACTTATCGTTGTTGGGAGGTGCTTATTTTATTTATCATTGGGTTACGATTACATTTTGACGGTAAAGTTTGCAAGTTATGCCCTTTACAAAGTGCCGCCTATAAAATTTCATTAAAGAGATCGAAATTCGTCGTTCTTTTTTGTTCCTCTCTGGCTTGCATTTTTCAAAAAAATCTTAACAAATAATAATCATAAAATCAGTTAAATTTCAAATCTCCAGGAGATAAGACATTTACATTCCTGCTGCTTAGTATGATTGCTTTCTTTAGTTTTGAAAACCATAAATCTCACTCGTCGTTACATCGAGATGCGAACACGCTGGAAGTTTGGAGAGCACGATAAAAGCGTGATAGTTGCTCGAGGCGCAGCCGAGAGCAAACCAAGTTTCCTGAGTGCTTTACAAACTTTCCATGTGTTTCATATCCCAATGACAGCACAGCTGACGAATGAACCAATTGTTTAAACATTGTAAATGCAGGTTTTTTAAATTTTGTTTCTCATTGATTTAAAACTTTTGAGGAAAAAAGAGAGATTTAGGTTTTAGTTAAAATGTACTATGACATCAAGATATTAGATAAAAATCACAGAGCATGCCTAGGGAGATTTCAAAGTCTTCATGTACATGCGTCAGGTTTGCCAAATAACCGCGTGCTTACCAAAAACTTATCTTAAAACGAAGCAAAATGACAAAGAAGTACTTCGTTACACGTGCTGCATTCTAAGAAATGCTAAATTTGCTATTCAGGAACGAAAAAGGTCAGAATTTCTAGCTTGTTAGCAAAACGTGCGAGAGAGTTACCATGCTTACAGCGTTGTTTCCTAGACTTCACGTCTAGTAATGAACGTGAGGCTGTTTGCAAATTCTGAAATTTAACATTTTTAATACAAAAACTTCTCTTTAATTAACTATACTTTTGAGACATATCACACTTTAAGGTGATCTTTACCGGCTTAAAGATAGTTCGAAAGTGGCGAAGCTCAACTTAAAGTAAGGAAATATAGTTTCCATTTCCCAGTCCCCCATTCGTATCGCGTTGTTACATCGATCGAAAATTCCTTTCGTCGCTTTTAAGGCTTAGATTTCCATTGTTTTCTAAATAGAGTATCGTTTAGCATATTTACTTTTCATTCTTTAGCTCATAAAGGTCTATCTCAATCCTGAAAGATTTCTACACTTCCCCACACTCATTATGCACAGAGTTCTTGAATAAAGAAAACAAAGGTGACATTGGGCCTACGGCTTTGTTTTAGAGTAGTAGGGGATTATACGAAAATACTTCCCTCAATCAGAATGGAAAGGAAAACCCACCTTGAAAATCTTAAAAATCACCGCTTGACTGAAAGGGACTTTCGCAGTCATCACAGATGAAATGTATTTGCTTGAGGTATATTTTTGCGCCGGCATAATCGTGCACGAAAGGAACATAAAACACGCTGGCGCGATTGAATTTGATTATACGAATTTCCTAGCTTTGTTATATATTTCCTTTTCACGTCATGGCCCGTCAATGGCAATTTTCTTCCCGTTTTTGAATTCAGACAAATTTCTTTTCATGGTAAAGGGGAGAGAGTTCATAATTGAACTCTTTCAGTGAAAGACAGTGAATAATAAAGTTTAAATCAAAACTCCTAAATTGGATGCATCAAATGCTCACCATTCGCTCCCGGTTCGTTGCAATTGCTTGTTCGTGTTTCGTCAATCAGGAATACTACCATATACCGCGTCTGGCGCCCGAAGAAATAGTAGTGATCACGAACTACCATAGAATTTCTTTTTCTCCTGTCCGCTCTAAAAGTATTTTGGTCTTTGCAGTACGTGAGAAAAATGTTTTGAACGTTTGTGACTCCTTCTCCAATGAGATCGTTCTATGTAGCTGAGTGAAACTTCCCTATCGTTTCTATTTTTTCTTGTGGGAGTTTTCTCCCTGATCAAATACCATCAATTTTTGTTTTTACACAGTACTTCCGCGCCCACACGGTTACTGAGAAATATTAAAATATTTCTTGGTTGCATGAAAAGATGTAACTGAACCCACACGATGTATCCTTCCACGCCAAATCCCGGCCCTCCGATGCTTTGAGGGCGGTAATAAGTAATATTTTATTGACTTTTCGAGCAATGACTATACGAAAACATCATGGCTAGCGTTTTTCGTTATGAATCACGCCAATATTTCCATGCAATTTTTAACTTAAACATAGTTTGCAGAGTTGACAGAATAGCGCTTCGACCAGTTTAAAAAACTCTTCCCTTCATCTTGACTTGTAAGGTTACTTTGTTGATTAGGAGGTCCGAAGTAAAATTTACCAGCAGAAAAACTACAAGTTATTTTTAATTGCTTCAGGGAAAAAAATCGTGAGTTTTATTTTAATATCTTTAAGCAGACGACGAGACAGGTTTTGCCGGCCTTAAAGCTATTACGTAATTAGTTATTTTGGCCCCTTCATTTTCACTCGAGGTTATACCACACACAACCATTTTTCCAACTCTGAACAAGAAAAAAAAACAGGACTTGTAGACACATGGGGAATTATTTTATGAATTTTGTGTACAAAGAAAAATCTGAATTTGATGAAAGTCTGCTGACAAGATAAGTTTCAATTGCATGTTAAATCACAAATAAAAAAGTCTTGAATGTGTCGTTGTTATGTAATGAGGCCCCTAACTGTGGAAACCAATTCATGATGAGCATATAATTACATGAAGCACTTTGAGATAGATGATGAATTGAAAAGTGTCCTTTCACTTTTCTTGAATAACTTTCATTTGCAAAGTTAAAATATTGCAGCCGCCACGACCCGCGCCCAATTTCTAATAAAACAAAGTAATATTTAAAGGATCAAGATTTGCATTAAATCTTCTATTGAATCAATTGACAGGCTAAAACAAACTCATTGAGATGACGGTATAGATTTTTCTAAGTTGATGACGACAGATTCTATTCTTCAAGCGGATGCAGTTTTCGCCCCAAATACCTTTAATATCTTTAAATTGAAGCATAATACTTTTATTCCACGAATGATCGGTTTGAAATGAATATTCATTATACTATAATTGTTTAAGACCGTTACAAAAGCGAAGGGAAGTCACGTTCACAGTTTTTCGAAACGTTTTTTTTTTTTTTAATAAAACAAGAAATATCGCACTAATAGAGAAAAACAACTAGTTTTAACTCTTCAGTCCAAAACTGTAAATGTGTAATCCTGTTGCTATCAAGCAAAACTGTTTTCGATTCCCCATCAGGGGCACGTTTAAAAATTCTACAAAAATTTCATGATTCCATTGGCCACACAAAACATTTAGTGATCAATTAAATCTACGAAATTTTTTTATGGATTATTTGTGATTTGAGGAATCAACTTGATTCATACTCAAATTTAGCATTGAATTGTCCATGAGAAAGAAATATGAACAGCAACTGAAGCTCCTTAGAATTAGGTCTTACGCCTGAAGAGAAAGGCTTTACTTTTTCCACGTCTAACACCCACTTAATATTCCGAGATCATATACGTACCATAGGGTTATTGTAAGCTGAATCGCCTTTACATCATATCCCTATTTCGAACGCATAAAATCTCGAAAGAATTCAGTTTTACCCTACGTTTACTAGAATGTGTTTAACTGGCATCTTTGATTGGGTAAATGCTTCTGTTCTTTTTTCAGTTTTTTTTTTCAGAGTAACATCAGGTTGAACAGGAAGGCTAGCGCTGCAACTTCTCCTACACACTGTTCGCCCACAACACTCTTAGTTACCTAATCATCGTCCAAACATACCTTTCAATCACCTAATCATTACTTATCATATTGCATCACAGCTTCCTTTCAATTATACCACGCAGTTCACTATTTTCGTCGAATTCCTTTAGGTTGGCACGTGTAAAACGTGCATGCCAAATAACGTGGAGTGTTTGCACGTGTTGGGTGACCGCAGCTGTTCGTTATAGAATTAATTGGGCAGTACAGCAAGCTAAAAGTATAGGGAAGAATGAAATGTTTACCTCCA